ATATTTCATATCTCACATTATGTTTTATATTGAATCCCACCCACTGAGGCCCAAAGGTCAACCCTCATGCTTCCTACACGGAGACATATTTTCCTTCTCTTTACATTTGTCTTCGTATTAGATGCTACTGAATCCAGTGAGGCTGGAAACAGTGCAGTGGCACATATGTTGGAAAGCTTGTCCGCCGCCCACCTGGAGCACGGTTAATAAAAGTCTACACATTAACCATCATATCTCTGAGAAGTAGGAGCCCAGTGGTAACATTCAAACACACAGCAGAGGGTTTCTCATGCATATCAATCATGAATGTGAACTTAAAGTCTGAGAGGGGTCGTGGTATGGAAAAGCATTCAAGGATTTTACCGACAAACCAGGGTGACCTTTTGACTGATCCTAGCGAGGCTCCATAAATCCACTTCATTACTGGGTCATAAATATGTGCTGAGCTCCTGCTCTGTTGTGGTGCAGTGCTGCTGCACTCCACCTCCGCCTCCCCACACAAACATAAAGTTTTCTTATGGTTGGCGAGAGATGTGGACACACTGTGTTCAGCACTGAAAACAAATCAAAGTAGACAAACAGCTGCCCAGGACCTAATGCATGTTATGGAGGAGTCTCAAATCAGTGGAAATTAGAGGTTGACAGCAGGCTGAAGACCTCAAATGTAAATTAAAATATAGGGATGCACGATTAATCCAATATGCAGATATTTTCCAACTCACTTTGGCCGATACCGATAAATGCACATATGTTTTTTCCACCTAACTGCAGAGAACATTGAGTCTCTCCTGTAGTGAAAATAACATATACTCTTACACTGTTTGCCCACTGACAGATGCAGACGTAAAATAAAATGCTTTCCAAAATGTACGCACTCACTGGGCAGTACTTAGGTTACATGTAAAATATGCCATATTTACATTTTCAAGCAAAACTTTAAAATTTAGTGTGTTCTTTTATTTTATTTATATTTATTTTTTAATTCATTCATTTTTATTTTATCCCCCCCCCCCACCCGTGTTTTTTTTCTCTTTTATGATTTTTTATTTTTACTTATTTTTGTATTTTATTTTATCCTTGTTTGTTTTCATTTTTTTCTTTTTATCCTTGTTTGTAAAGTGATTAGAGTATCATGAAAACACATCCCAGCATTCTGCTTCTTATTAAGTTTGGTTTCCCTTTTTTGTGTTACTCTCTATGTTCATACCTTTTATAAATACATTTATTTTATCGGTCCATTTCGGCTTCTGTATTACACACTGTAACTCACTTTTACGTTGCCTTCTGCTCTAACTGTGTCCCACAGAAGGCCTGGAAAGATTGGACTATTAAGACTTATGATTATGATTAAGTTGTCTATCTGGACCTGGAAATAACTCCATAAAAAGAGAATTTCAAAATTAAAAAATGATCCTACTGCAACAGACCTGGATGATAATGATGATGATGATGATGATGATGATGACGGTGATGATGGTGCTCTCCCGTGGACAATCCTGACAACAGCCACAACCAGAGCAAATCTGACCTCCTTTGACCAAATAAATTTGCGTAATTAAAGCATCATCTTTTCAGCCTCTCATATCAGCAGACATGTTCATTGAGGGCCGATACCGCTATTTAATTTTAAATACTTGATCTACAGATACTGATTATGTGCCGATATTATTGTGCATACTTCTGAAAATGCAGTGTAGTTGTGTTAGAGAAGCAAATTTATCAAGTTCACTGTGACTTTAGGCTTATTTCACTTTTACGTTTTTGTTAATTGTAGCTTCAAAAATATAAACTGATTCACATCTGGTGAAGTAGTAGGTGCATAGCAGAATCATATCATATAAAAAGTAGTGGATTTCTGCACATTGTCAGAACTGTAACACAGGCTGCAATGAAACATCAGAAAGGGGGGGATATCACATGAACAACTCAAACAAATTTGTATTTAGTAACAGTCAAATTAGTGCTAAAATGATGAGTTGACTTAACATCTGATCCACTTTAATGAAAAATAATATTAAAAAAAAACTGCTTTAGCCCTTTCATGCATGAATTATTACGACTTCAGTCAAGTTTTTTTTCTTGAGAATTTTATTCCTCTTTAGGCATGAAAAAAATTCAATTTATCAACTGGAGAAATATTAACCAATTTAAACACTGATATATATCATGTGAAATTATAAAAAATATATTCTTAATGCTGTTAAAAGTAGTGTGTTCACATATTTTAACATGTTCATAGACTGTTCAATGCCATGCAAAAGCGTTAAACCTTGCTTCTGACCGACCAACTTCTCCCCTCTTTCTACTCCTCCCTTCTGTCCTCCCATTCAACTCCTTTTTCTTCACTCCTCCTATACAATTTTTTCAATTAACATTTTCTGCAAAAATAACAAAAAATATTGTCATAATAGTTTCTTTTATAAAAATTGCACAATATAACCAGCAATGCATGATGTCCAATTCACTGGACAAAGGATTAATTGTAATTTCCTCACAATATAAAATTAATACTTGGAAAATTTAACAACCGTATTACTCCTTAGATGTTACTTTATGTTAACAGATTTTATTTACCTGCCAGGGTCTCCTATTACAGAAGGATTGGCAAGATTTTCTTGGCCTGCACAATGTTCCTTGCGCTCTGTTGGCCATCTTGGTTTTAAAAAATTTGTGTTGCACTGACAACACCTGGCCAGTGGGTGGCCATCAGTGGCATGATTAGTCTCTTACACAGACGCCGATGACGTCAGCACGCTGGCTGACTCTGTCGTCTGTGGACATTCCCATAGGAAAGTTGTAATAGAACTAGCACTGGCTCCCAGCAGCAGTGATGTGATTGGATCCAAATCCATGTACTTCCATACTTCCTCGACCAACGGCTGATTAGCTTTGCCTTACACCCACCTACACTGGAATTACTGTTCCCCAAATTGTTGTCCGTAGTACAACAGAAAAGGAAGAGTTCAGTGCATCGCAAGAAGAGATTAAAATGGATATGATTTCATTTGATTCAGCTCTATTGCAGAGCTGCGACGTCTCTGTTACATGTAACACACGTGCCGTACCTACGTCACGTGGTCTGGATATCCCTGCCCATTTCTATAACAAAACGAAAGACGAATGTCCCCAGACTCCATTTCCAAAGTAAGGGAGGCTGGTCACGCGAGACTATGGCATAATGTACTTGGGTCCACTGTAGTGACTTAAAGGGAAATTTCGGTTTATTTTAACCCGTCTCCTATCGTCCTAAATTTGTTTCAAGTGACTAGTGACATAGAAATAATAGTTAGCATGTTAGCCGTTAGCCTAGATACAGCCGTAGCGTCAGACCTGTTAAAACGTAAGTGAACGGGCATCCTTTCAAGTGCAAAGTTAGTCCACTAAACAAGCTTTTTCTCCACAAAGACCGCCTCATATCGTTAGGATAAATGTCAGAGAACATATAGAAAACGACATGTAAACGTGTTGTCTTACCTTACTGGTGTGGTGCCATGTTTGTTGTTTACCATTTAGCTAAGGCTGCAACCGGTCCCATTCCTTGCATCAGAGGCATTCCTCTTCTGTGGGCACTGGGGTACAGCATTCACAAGTAACGTTACACCACCGATCTCCAGAGCTAAATCCTTCCAGCAGCCATTCCTCCTCTCTCGTCCTCTACCAGTTGTGCCTCTCTCTCTCTCCTCCTCCATTCTTCAATTTCACGAAGCTCTTCGTCGGTGTATTCTGGCTCAAATGAATAAGGGCGGCCATCGCCTCTCGATGTGGAAAGCCTATATACTAACATTCCACATTTAGGTGGTCTTCAGAGTTGTTGTCTTACCTTACGGTGTGTTTACCATTTACCTCTGCTTCCAAAAGCATGGCCGAAATCTCGCGAGAACAAGCAGCGATCTCATACCGTGCCTGAAATCTCGCGAGAACAAGCAGCAACAGCCGCAAGGCAGAACCGGACGGTAGCCTGAAAAGTTCATTCATTTATTTTATGAAAGATTTATAGAATACAGACTTCGACTTTGTGGAGGAGGAATTTGATTTTGCAGAATTTGATGGCCGCCCTTATTTATTTGAACCAGAACACACTGACGAAGAGCTTCGTGAAATTGAAGAATGGAGGAGGAGAGAGAGAGAGGCACAACAGGTAGAGGACGAGAGAGGAGGAATGGCTGCTGGAAGGCTTTAGTTCTGGAGATCGGTGGTGTAACGTTACCTGTGAATGCTGTACCCCAATGCCCACAGAAGAGGAATACCTCTGATGCAAGGAATGGGACCGGTTGCAGCCTTAGCTAAATGGTAAACAACAAACATGGCACCACACCGGTAAGGTAAGACAACACGTTTACATGTCGTTTTCTATATGTTCTCTGACATTTATCCTAACGATATGAGGCGGTCTTTGTGGAGAAAAAGCTTGTTTAGTGCACTAACTTTGCACTTGAAGGGATGCCCATTCACTTACGTTTTAACAGGTCTGACGCTACGGCTGTATCTAGGTTAACGGCTAACATGCTAACTATTATTTCTATGTCACTAGTCACTTGAAACAAATTTAGGATGATAGGAGACGGGTTGAAATAAACCGAAATTTCCCTTTAATGCAACTATAACATTAAAACCCATGCATATACAAGAAAAAGTCTTTTAAATAACCCTCCACTGTAGTGACCACTATTTATGAAAGGGTTGAGTCAGTCATTAAACAACAATGCAACACACAATCAAGTTCCAGACTCTTAGATGTGAGGATTTGCAGCTGTCCTTTGCTATATTTTTGTAAAATGAATATCATTGGCTTTTGGACATTTGGTTGGGCAAAACAAGTATTTTAAAGTCATAACCTCGGGCTCTGGGAACTTGTGAGGGACATTTTTCACTGATAGAATTCAATGTAAGTGTGTCATAAAGAGGAGTAATGGCACATTACAGTGATGTAGCATAGTAGTAGGGTGTCTTTAGTACTAGCCGGGCTTTAAATAGTGATTATGTGTGTTTCCACCATTTAGATGTAGCAGTGATCTCCCCTCAGGATCCCATCCTTCATATTGGCTCCAGCCTAACAGCCACATGCACACTGAGCCCTGAGCTCGGCCTCCACGCCAACACGTTGTACTGGACACTGAACGGGATGAGTCTGTCCAGCAGCACCTACAGTGTGTTGAGCCCCGACACCCTCAGCGTCACCCTCCACAACCTCAACGGCTCCCAGCAGCAGTCTGGTGACAACCTCATGTGTCACGGAGCAGATGGACACGTCCTGGCTGGTTCATGTCTCTATGTGGGCAGTAAGTGGAGGCTTTTCAGTCTGTGCAGAGTCATACGGAGATGAATGACTTTTTAAAACATATGTAGTGAGATCAGTCTCAGAAAACTGTGGTGTGTTGAACATAGTCAGACAAGCATGCTAGTTTTGTCCTTGTCGGAGCACAACAAAGGGGCGGATAACTTGATTCCAGCACCTGAAAAAATAATTAGTTTGCTTCTTGTTGCTCTTCTTTTCCTCCAGGGCCTCCAGAAAAGCCAGTCAATTTAACGTGTTGGTCCCGCAACACGAAGGACTTGAGCTGCAAGTGGAGCCCGGGGGGGCGGGGCGAGACCCACGTCCAAACCAAATACACCCTCAAGTACAAATTGAGGTGAGCGCCCCAGACCTGCCGCAGCTCACAGGTGATCACCTCGTCAGACACCATTCAGGTAGACTAGCAATTAATGCATCAGTGCCGCGTATAGTTTATCGTCTGCAACACGCACTTTGCTCAGAGGCTGCAGTGTGTTGTTCTGCTCGTGTAGTAACCGCTGGTATCTTAAAGTTAAGTTTTTGTCATAATTGATGAAACTGTCATTACAACTGTCCTGACAGTAGTACATGAGACAAAAAAACGTGTTCCTCATCATGCTTGTAATGGCATTTACATGAATCCACTGCAGCTGAATGAAAACAACCAGAGACGAGTCTCTGAGGGTGCTTTCACACCTGCCCTGTTTAGTTTGGTTCAATCAAACTCAAGTTCGTTTGCCCCTAAGTGTGGTTCATTTGGGCAGGTGTAAACACAGCAATCACACTCCGATGTGCACCAAAATAACCTGACCAAGACCTTCTTGAAGAGGTGGTCTCAGTCCTCTTACAAACGAACTCTGGTGCAGTTCTTTTGTGGTGAGAACGTGTTCCGACCTCCATCCGAACCAACTGCAATCACATGACACATTGTTTGGGTTAAACATGAGCATGTTACAGTCCTGGATGATTATTAATGTGCACCTCCTCCTGTACTGCCTTAATATGCACATTCAGCACATCCAATGCATCAAAACATTGTTTTCTAGTTGGAGCCGCGCCTCGTTTTCAAACTGTATGGTTTAACTAAAATGAACAATGACAGCAATATAGTCCATGATGAGCAGTGCTAAAATCAACCTGCGTAGTTGTCCCTCCATTGTGACATTAGACAGTGTCACATTTATCTTGCAAGTGTACTCTTCCTTAATGTTTTGTTTACTTCCTGGATTTTTCCTGCATGGAAATTCTGACCAATCAAGAGCAGGTTTCTGGCTCAAGGCATTTTATCTGGTCCGCTTGTAAATGCTGCCGTGAGAACACGAACCAACTCTAGGCAAGTATGCAACTTTGTCAGAAATGAGTCCCTGATTCAGACCAAAGCAGGTAAACTCTAAGTCTAGAAGCACCTTAACAAGGGCTTCAATCATGTCAATCACAGCTTGTGAACTGAAACATATTTTAGTGTATTGTTAGCGAGAAAGATTGCTCTGGGAGCCATGTTGAAAATTGACAAGCTGAAATCAAGCACCACCCACCAGCTTCTCATTTTACAGCTAAACAGTGCACTAAAATATGTTTCTGAAAACATTTGAGGTGAGAAATAGACACTGCACTAGCAGAAACGTGATTAATGTTTGATAAGCGCTACCTGGTTTGACAGTTTGACCGAAGTTGACACGTGCAGTGATTGACATTACAACAGCTGCATTCGAGGCCCAGCTCTGATTAGCTGTTGTCACTCAGACACAGTGGGTTCTTGCAAATGCCAGTGGGAGCACTATTTGGAGGCATAGGGATGTGAATTTTTGCACAAATTATCTGCCTTACTGTCAGGATATAGTGACAGTAGTAGTAGTAAAAGTAGTAACTGTTATAAAAGTTACCAACTGTAGCTTTAAAAATAGTCAGTCTGCCTCTTCAGAAACAAACATCAAGAATTTATTTTGGTCATTATGTTTTGTTTCTGTCCAGGTGGTATGGGAGAGAGAAGGAGTGTGAAATATACAGCACAGGGAAGCAACGTTACTCCTGCTACATCCCCCGCAACCTCGCCCTCTTCACGCCATACGAGATCTGGGTGGAAGCAGCCAATCAGCTGGGCTCTGCCATCTCTGACATCACCACCCTGGACATCCTCGATGTAGGTGGGTAAGCAGAGTTTTTGAGGACGTCTCTATTTAACACCTGGAGGTTAATTAGTGTAACGTTTGCCTTTCCTCTCATGTCTTTTTTTGGTCACTTCCTTTCTTTTCTTTCCTGTCCTGTCCTGCTTTTCTTTTCCTCTGTTCCATTTGTTTGTCTGCAGATCTCCTGCATATGGCTAACACACTTCTCTGGGGGAAAGGGGGATTTATTTTTATGGTTCGCTCCCTCCGACCCGCCTCTGTAACAGCATTATGGATTCAGTCTGCAACTCTCAGAGATGAACTGTTTGGTTGTAAAAGTTAACCGCACATCCGATGCCTCTCTGGTAATGGCTTCACCCATTTCTCAGCAAGAAATTTAGGTTATGATGTACGAGCTCTAGCAGGTATATCTTACAATTTCTCCAGCGCTAATGTTACAGCGTGGTGTTGTGGCCTCCAGCGAGTACCACATTATGAAAGCAGTGTTTATTGTCCGTGACTGGGCATCCTCTCCCTCCATTCATCCTCCCTGCACACTGAGGAGCTGATAACTTGGAGCTGTGAGTGCGTTGGAGGAGAAGGAGGAGCGTTGCCATATGTATGATGCATTGCACTGCCTCAATAACAGAAACAATAAGCTGGAAGTATATTTGTTCTGGCTCGGTTTTGCTCTCTCTGTCGAGCTGGATGTGAGAGAACAAATAAAACTGAGAAACAGCGTCACGCACCAGCAGTGAAGGATGTCTGAAGCAGGAGGTTGCAAACTGGAAACACTTTTACAAGTTCTTTAATAAGTTCCTTCCTTTGTCTCTCGTGCTGCCATCACCTTTATCTTTCCCTCCAACTTCAAAGCACTTGATTTGTGCACAACCTTTATTGCAGTTAGTAAAATGTTTAGTTCCCCACTGACTGAGAGTACAGCACACTCTCTACAGGAAGTACAGCCTGACCTGAACCACAGGCTGCCAGCCAGTCTGTACACGAGGGGAAGTTTAATGAATCTTTATAAATTTCCACTTGTTCACTGTTATGATAGCAAATTATAAACCTTTATACATATGGTGTAAGAATGTCCACAGTTGAAGGACCTCTTGGAAGTCATTTTGGGAATCTTTCTATAATGTTTGGAAAATGAATGTCCTTGCCTTCCAAAGTGGGACTGCCCTGTTTAGGTAGAAATATCTGCTATGATTTTGGATGGATGCTATTTTCCCATGTTTTTGTGTCAATGTGACTAATGGAGACAACAGTTTTTGAAACTGGTTCAGTATCGAGCGAGAGTGCTGCAGCTGCAGGTTGCAAGTTATCCCTACGGGCAATTATGCAACATCAATTTAAAAGTTCTTGGTTTGTCAATGACAGGCTCAGATTGTTATTATAAGTGTCTGACAACATTATGTAAAGGACCCTGCAGAGAAATAAAACATTTTTCCTTTCCTTCCACTGACCTGTTTTTTATTGTGACCAAGTCTCACTCAAGAAGAAGTCTAACTCTAAAATCTCACATGAGATAAGTTGTTGCAGGAAAAACAACAGTGGAAATGTACTAATAGACAGATCGGTAAGAAGTCACTTAAAATAATCTGATCCTGTCAGTGGCAAAAACAAGCACTTTTAATGGATGGAAATTGACGATTTACAATTGACCCTTCGCTAAGCCCCGCCTCCAGATGCAGACTGGCCAATCATAACGTATCATCAGACCACCTCAGGTTAGGGTCCGACAACAACACAGCTGTGCTCCATTGACTCTAATGCAGTCGTTTCAGATTTCCTTCATTTCAGGCTGGTTTTGTGGATTTGGAGCTAAATGTTGTGCCTGGGGCACGTCGTGTATTAATGATACTCGTTACCTGGAGAGGTTGGAAAAACATATACGTTTCATCCCTGTTCCAAAACCAAAATCAAACCCTGAAAAGTGTAGGGTTAACAAGCTAGCTACTGAAGATATAGCCTACTGAATGTATACACATGCTGCTTTTGCTTTTTTAATGATCATAACAGTGAAAAAAAGACCAACCCTGCTGTACAGGAACCAGTGAAGGGAAGCAGGGAAACTTTGCTGATATTCAACCAGCTGTGTGTCATCGCATTGTGTGCAAACACTGTTCATCTGCACACACTGTAATGCCACACAGCTGGTTCAGCAAAGTTTCCCTTTATATTCATCATCTTCTGTGGCGATCAGCAGTGATGTGGTGGTTCACTTTTACACTGTGATCTGTAGCCTATAGTTCGGCTTTAGCTTCTAACTATCTTTGTCTTTTTAACCTGTTGTTGCTACTGAGTCAGTTTGACATCCTGGATATATCCTTCAAACACAGACTGTAGACCCCTCTGTCTGCTTCTCTCTGAATCACTGTTTCATTTTACCAAAAATATGATAATATTTCTTCAGGGGGTGCAGTTAGTTACAGTGTGGGCTCCATGCTTACTGCGATAGCTTGTCAGACCATCACAAAGGGGTGGGGCTAGTAAATTAGTTAATAAAGAATACAACAGAAAGATAAAACAAGAAACAAAAAGGTTAGTCACAGAAACAAACACTTCATAATACTGATGAATGTGTTGCGCTGTCTTTCCTTTTAAAAGAGGTATTGAATTCAAGGAATTTTTCACCCAAAAAATAAAAATAAAAAAGACAGATCAATGGGAAAATTAAAAAATAAATAAATTAAACATGTGTATGAGACAGATGGCAGTGTTTTGAATGATGAAGAATGAATGAAGAATGATGAGGTGTGATGTTTGTCTGCCCTCTGTCTTTTAGTAAAGTATCCACTGAAAGTCATTCACACCTCCTGTATCCTTGACCTGATTACTGTACATCTGCTGTATACAAACTTTTCAACACTTGTCCTTGTTCGTGCAGTGACCACTGACCCTCCTGCCAACGTGCAGGTGAGTCGCGTTGGCGACCTCGAGGACCAGCTGACGGTCCGCTGGGCCAGCCCCCCCGAGCTCAAGGACATTCTGTTTCAGGCCAAATATCAGATACGCTACAGACTGGAGGACAGCACAGAATGGAAGGTGGTCCACACACACACACACACACACACACAAACACACCTGCAGCCTGCACACACTTTCTCTGTAGCTTTGACACCTCTGAGGCAGCAGCGGAAATATCTGAGGTGCAGCACTGACTGATCCATAAATGATGAACATAAAAGTTGCTCCTGCTGCATCTCTAGCCTCTCCTGTGTGTGCTGTCATTACAAAGCAAACAACACTCGTGTAAAAACCTTGACTGCTGCTGCTGCTCGTTTCTTTGCTGGTAAATTTTGAAAGCTGGCTTTCATCCAAAAGTGCAGCGGTGGAGCTTTTAGAAACTTTAATTCTTTCAAACTGCTTCTTTGATGTTTCCTGCCCACAGCTTCTTTACATATATTTTTTTTCCTTTGAATTCTGGACTGGTTGAGAGGATTAAGCAAATAATGTTCAAATATCCAGACTGCACCCAAAACACAGAATAAAGCCAGAAAAAGTGATCATAAAAGATCCTTTTCATCTGTGCTATAGACGGAAGAAAAGCCTGTGAAAAAAGATCCAGCTGTTAAGTTGGAGCTGAGGAGGATTTTGACTCTCCTACCGTTTTATTGCATCATCTCTGTCATTTTGTTTCCTCCCACAGGTGGTGGATGATGTCGGTAACCAGACGTCATGTCGCCTTGCTGGCCTCCGGCCTGGGACTGTCTATTTTGTGCAGGTGAGATGTAATCCAGTGGGCATCTATGGCTCCAGGAAGCCTGGCATCTGGAGCGACTGGAGCCACCCGGCTGCCGCCTCCACACCCAGCAGTGGTGAGTACGCTGCGGAGGAAATATGAATATAAGACTGAATGAACAAAACGCTGTTTGTGTTTTTATGACTCCGTGCTGGTGGTAACTGTGGCCTGAGGCATTAAAGTCTCTGGAAACCCAAATCCACAATAGCCTTCTAACTATGTAATTTAGGGTCTTATGTACATAATATTAAACATGTAAAACAATTAGAAATCTGTTTCCATCCAAATTCGAAATAACCGTCTTTTAAGTTTTTGTACATTCTTGAAATTGGGTTTGATTTGGCCATGGTTATCTCTGAGATTTATTACGCAATAAATTCCAAACCAATCATAAATCATCAGTCAGTTGTCTCATCCCGCCCCCCAGTGGCAGCGCAACAAAACCTTTCTGCTCCAGCTAAATCTGCCTCTTTGAGTCTGAGCCAACTCCTCTTTCTAGTCTGATGTTTAGAAAAAACAGATCGTAAACTGGCTGAACCGCTCGGCTGCGACCCAGCGGAGGCTCTGCCTCAGGCGGGCTCCCAGAAGCACTCAAATCAGGTTGACCGGCTCCAGAGCCCGGACAATCCGAGCCTTTGCAGCTAGTGGAGCTGCAGGAAGAGGCGGCTTGTGAGTGGCCGGGCTTGCCCCCCAGGCCCGGTGCCCGTGTCGACTCGTGGGGAGGGGACGTAATGTGCACCCTTCCTCACCCCTAACCCCATAAACATATCCCTAATCGCGGAGGTGATGCTGCGGGAAACAACACAATTTTAGCCAGAGGGGAACATTATTCAAGGCGGGCAAATACTTCATCTCAATGAAGAAAGGCAAAGCGCTAGCCTCCCGTTGTCATTCATCTCAGCTAACGGCCGGGCTCAACCGGGCACGTCTGCAGCGCGAGTCCCGTAGCAGCTCGCCCCCCTGTTAATCAATTACAGCGGCTCCACCGGCAACGAGAGCGGTGCGATAACTCTATTTAAGCGGCTCTTCTATTGTTTATCCATGACACTGTGTCCGTGGCGGACATTTGAAAGCGAGTAGATGACAAACAGTACAGTAAACTTGTAGATAACTCAAATATATGTAATAATTTAGGTGGAAAATGCTTTAACATTTCATGCAGCCTACATGCAGCCTCTCGGCTCAGCAAACCGTAAACAACCCTGCTGGCTTCTCTACGTGTCGCTTCCATACGCAGTCAGTGGAGCCCAAATGAATACGCAGCGACGCTACGCTGTACGTTTGCAGCCGGTGGAGCCTGGCCGTAACATTGCATGTAAAAGTTATGCTAACTATTCTACGAAGTAACATTAATATGAATCACAAAACATTTTGAAACTTACCATTCAGTGACCACCTGAAAGGAATCATTTTCAGCTTCTGCTTCATCCTCTGAATCATCAGAGGGCTCAAACATGTACGACGAAACATGTATGATTAAATTTGTGGCAGCCATTGCTGAGCCAGGGAGATGTCAATCAAAACGAGGGAGCTGTCAATCAGAGCGTTATCTGCCACGCCCACTCTGTCCTGGCAAGTGGTCTAAACAGCAAAATGAGCTCTTTTTAAACCAGGTTTTCTAATAGTTATTAATGGTTATTTTCACTCAGACTTTTGTGAATGATTAATGAGACACTCAACTTTGATATAATATATGCATTTTTACTATTTCAAGCTGTGTTTCCACAGGCTTTAAGTTTTTAGGTTTTCCGTCCCATTCTTGTGAACACAATATCTCAAGAACACCGTGAGGGAATTTCTTCAAATTGGGCACAAACATCCACTTGGACTTAATGATGATTAGATTTTGGTGGTCACAGGTCAAGGTCACTGTGACCTTGCATTCGTCTCATCCTCATAAACATGATATCTCAAGAAGGCCTTGAGGGACTTTTTTCAAATTTGGTACAAACATCCACTTGAACCCAAGAATGAGCAGATTAGAATTTGGTGGTTGAGGATCAATGGTTAAGGTCACTGTAACCTTACAAAACATGTTTTTGGCCATAACTCAATAATTCATCCACTAATTGTGACAAAATTTCACGCAAATGTTTAACAGACATTTTAAGCCCAGTTCAGACCAAAGATTCGCAACAAGATGAGTTGAAGCATGCTTCTACTTGCAACGTGCCATTCTGCAACATTACAAAAACCTGCAGGTTCACACCAATGCAACTAGATGAGACAGTGTATCATCTCAATGCAACAACTCTCTGTACTTCCATTCTGATTTCCAGGTTTTCAGGTTTGTTTTGTGGCTGAATATAATTTGTAGCTTCTTAAAATATGAATGAGGATAGTTATAGTGAGATATTGGCTACAGTTGCATTTGCAGTAGCAATAAAAGGGCCAAAAACATAAAACGAGCATCAGATGGACTGTAATCTTAATAAATATGCCACAATAATATAAGTAAGCAGCACTGAAACCAGCCAACAGCAGTTTGACCAGCTGAGTTGCAGGTGACACCATCAGCCAGCTTGAGTCAAGCTTTTCTCTGCAATGTTCTTAAACTTTTCTTCTTGTCGTGACTCATTGCTCTGAACTGGGCTTTATAGCGAAAAGGTCTAAGGTCAACTTCACTGTGACATCATAATGTTCTGCATAAAAAACTTTTTTGGCTGTTAGTCAACATCATAACTCAGGAACAGAAGGGGAGACATTTGGTCAGACACTGAATTGGTGACTCTAACCTTGGATGTCCACCTTGAAACTGTGCTGATTGTATAGATGATGCTGCCGGGGAAAGGATGTGTGCAAAGCACCCATGTTTTTACAGACGTGGACGCAAACTGTAAGTGCAACTTGACTGATTAGAGTAGACGTACAACTGCAAAGCCGTAACTCTAGTCCAGACAATCAATACAAAATCCACCAAATGTTTAAAAGAGTAACCGAAGTCGTTCCTTTCATAGTCTGTCTCATGTCTTAAATGGCTTTTAAAAGCTTCCCAAATGTCTCTGGTGCCCACAGATCTTGACCATTTGTTCCTTTTCTAATAATCAACCTTTCATTGCCAATTAAAGCCAGAAAAAAACAATGTCCTTATCCCTGTTTCAACATCCTGAACAAGCAGATCCAAACCGCATGTGACCTAGGAGAAACCAAACATCAATAGTCTAGATACCTTGATAGAGATCTCCCAGCAGAGGATTAGAGGGAGCTGCAAAGAGCCAGGGGGACGTTTTGATAGATTTTTGTCCTCGGCTTCAAAGATTGATCAAGTTAAAAAGCTGGTTGTCTGTCCGCGGCGCACACAGGGCCTATAAAGCTTGAGTGGAAGCAGGTTTGGGAGCAGGAGGAGCAGATAATGAGTTACATAGGTCATGTGGTATTTACTCCCCAGAGGGAGGAAGTCATTATCGGGCTATGTTGTTTGCCATAAAGAATTGATTGTAGCAGACTTACGACTTTCAGTAGCCTCTTGTCCCCAGAAATAGAAGTATGGTATAGCACCTCCACAGTTTAGACCATTACAGAGAAACATTTTTCTTTATATGAAAGTGTTTATGTCTCATTTTGTGAAATTAAGGAGCATGAATCATCATAAATGTTCTCTAAGCGACTCTGTTTGTACCAGAAGCCTGTGTAGTAGAAAGAGGTGAGAGGTGTGCTACTGTAATGTTTTGATATTAAATTTGTTTTTAATAATGCGGCAGAGCATTATCTCAGGGTTGGAGTCTGATACTACGAAAGTGTCATTTCTATCCTTTGATCTCAGGTAAGTTATGATCCACATTAGTTTTTATTTCTGACACGTTACAGGCTAAGCAATTATTGAATTGATATTTTAAAGGGTCTGTGTGGCTGTACTTGGGCATAGTGGTGCTGCGAGCTACATGCTAACATGCTCACAATGGCAATGCTGATGTTAGGGGCATGTTTATCTCAGTTTAGTGTGTTAGCAAGCACTTGCTAATTAGCACTAAACATAAAGTACAGCTGAGGCTGATGGGAATGTCATTAGTTCTGCAGATATTTTCCAAAGTATCAGATAAATGGAAATGGAAAATTGGCACTGGATGCGATGTGAGAAGATCACAAAGTGCATTTATCCTCTGGGGAACATGAATGTGTGCCAAAATTTAATGGCAACCACAGACTGTATAAAATAATGGACGTAGCTGCCGTGACATCAACCACTGGTTTGTGGACTCCCATTCTGAAGCCTCATGTTTGGTAATTCGGCCTGTCACCATCTTGGGTTTTTTGAGCGGGAAATGACCAAATTTGGATGAGAAGGTAGAGCTGTGGGAAAGTGAGGGGATCTGACTGAGAACCATAGGCTCTAAAAATAATGTACGCAGCTAGCGTAACGTCACCCATTGGGTTTCAGACTCATTTTGAAACCCATAGTTTGGTATATTGGTTGTCGCCATCTTGGTTTTATGAAGCCAGAAGTGACCATATTTGGGTGAGAGGCTGTCGCTGTGTTGGAGTGAGGGATAGTTCTGCTTGAGAAGCCGAGGACACTATGGACGGACAGCCTGCCACTCAAAGTGACCATGCCTTTAATTATGCATAACTTTAAGCCTTCATAAAATGTAAACGGGTGAGTAATGGCAACATTCACCTCCCATACAGAAATTTGCTACAGAGACCAAAACTGTTTTTGTACCAGGCTGTAAACATGTTGATTTCTACTGTAAAGTTGGGCATTTTAAATGGGGGTCTATGGGGACTGACTGGCGTCTGGAGCCAGCCTCAAGTGGCCATTCAAAGAACTGCAGTTTTTGGCACTTTTTGTCTTTTTCAGCCACAGAGGTTGCTGCTTGATGGCAATTCATCCAGTAGTTGTAAGCAAATGTCAGACAGATCTTACCTCCTGAGAGCCACAGTATTAACATGGCTTAAAACACTTAACTTTATTTCACCACATTCATCCACTCAGTTTAGGGAAAGGCGATTCCAAACTTTTAAAATTTGATACGATACCAATACTGATACAAATACTTTTTATTTCTTAAATGGGTATGAGATTTTGTCAATATAATAATGGTCATTTTTAGGAAATAAAAGATCGTAACACATAACGAAAAATCACGACACATACCAGCCATTAATACAAATGTTTATTAATTTGGCATCTTTCTCTTGTTTTTGCTCAGACTCTTTACAACTCTCAGGGTGTGCTGTTTTTAATGTAAAGAGGTTACTCTTGCTGTGTGGAACTTTTTTGTCACAAATAGTGTATCTTGATGTTTTTTTATCTACAGGGTGAAAAGTTGCACTACACGAGACTACATTTCCTCTCTGCCAAATGTCCTGATGTCACATAGGTTTCCACGGTGTTACACGGGCCAGCTTAATTTCAGGGCTGCTTCGGCACAAATATTATACAGAATTACTGAAAACGTTTTGAAGTCAGCCACGTTTTGTGTATATATATATATATATATATATTTTACTAACTTTTTTTTTTTTTTTTTTTTGAAGACAATGAGTACACAATGAGTAGGATCAATCCGCCCATCCCTGCTCAGTAACAGTCCTGCTGTAGAGTTCTGGGTACATAAACCATACAAACCATAGTAACTGTCTTGATTATTACTTTAAGCTCCACAGCAGATATTCATTTAAAGAATGAAGGTATCTGTTCCACTGTATTTTTTTTAATCTTTTTTTGTGTTTTGAGTTTATTTTTATGTTACTTTTGGTGGTCACACCTGAAAATTTTGACTACATGAATTCATAATTATTTACAAAAGAATCATGTAGGTCATGTTTATGCTGACACATGACGTAGTTAGCGGCCAGTGCATAATCTATACACCACTAACACCTGTCCTCGCTATAACCTTGACGCTGTTCTCTCATCCTCCCTCCTCTCTGTTACCTCTTCCTTTCTTTACTCTCTCCTTTGTCTCCCCCCTCCTCCTCCTCCTCCTCCTCCTCCTCCTCCTCCTCCTCTCTCCTCCCAGAGCGGCTGCAGACTGGTTCCTGCGATCCTAAGCCCGGTGAGCAGAACTCCACCCTGCGGCGGGAACTCAAGCAGTTCTTTGGCTGGGTGCGCAAGCATGCATCTGGCTGCAGCGGCATGTCAATCAAACTGTACGATCAGTGGAGGGTGTGGCTGCAGAAATCGCACAAAACGCGCAACCAGGTAGGTAAGCAGAATCTCTCTCTCTTTTCAATATACCTTCCCCAACACACACGCATACTCACACACACATCCACTGCTGCATTGAAGTCCTGAACTGAATTTCTGACCCTGCCTTTGTTATGCCATGTGGTCAGCATTTTCACAAACACAAAGAGGACTGATTTCTCTTGATCTGGCTCTGTGAAGTTTCAGTCCGCACTTTATGATCAGGTAAAATGTGCGGTTTCGACTTTACTGGCCCAGAAGTGGGTCGATGAACTCTGATTTTATTACATATTTTAACAATTTAGACTTCTGATCTTCAGCTGATGACCACAACAAAGAGGAGCGAGCATGTAAATGCAATTAACGGCCCACTCTAATGTATTCCTTTTGTTTTCTCTTGGCGTGAGAAGACCCTTTCGCAAAAATAACTCAGGCCAAATGGCACGCAGAGCCCCGGCATCTCCTGTGTGTTTATGTGACTTTGTGAGTTCAGATCCCTCAGCCACATCCTCCGCCGCTCAGTCCTTGAACTCACAGAAACCTTCACTCTACCTGACTCAATTAGCTCAGCAGTCTCCGGGTTTTTGTGCTTTATAGGGCACACACTGTCGCCTGAATAATGTCTTTGTTCACAAACCGTGACAGGTCCCCATTGATTACCTTGAGAGAAAGGTAGCAGGGGGCCCGGAGCGATATGCAGAGAATAAGAAAGAGATGATGCGAAGAGAGAAGAAGAGAAAAGAGAGGATGCGAGAGAAGAGGCAGCCAGACAGAGCAATTATCGTGATGATTGTAAATTACATGCTTTTTCTCGTTGAATTATCCCAGTGTGAACCATCTGCTTTTGTCTTTTCAGATTCTACAAGACGATAATTCATAGCAGCGCCGCTCAGCACCACTGTGGTGTTTAATTCAAGAACAGCATCAAGAAACACTGACAGATAACTGGCCCCGAGGGACCCAGCTGTGTGAGAGGTCCAACGCCCCGCCTGAGGGATACTGCAGTGTTTGGTCATAAAGCCTTAACTTGAGTTTAAAGGGCCCGAGTGGAAGATAACTGAAGTGAGACAATGCAGCCTTTTTCTGCTGTTTCCGCTGGCCAAATCTGTCCCTTAGATCTGTTTGCACAAACACAAATGTTAAGGCCCTCAGTAACTGCACTTTTACTCTAAAATAAAAGTCATTCTCACAGTTAAGATTTTTTAATAATTTAATGTAAGATAAGCAAGTCATTAACGGTACTTTGATGTCAAACTATACAAACTATGCCAAACAGAATTGCAGTGGCAGTAAAATGAGGGACGTGGGACCAAAATGTACAAAACAATCCTCACTCTACTGTTATAGCTCTAGACATTTAACAAAGTATTTTTGTGAGGGTGGTTTTCTCCAGGCAAATATAAATGTGAGATTCACATTGTTATGGCCTTTAGGGTAGTTTCGCTCTACATTTATTACTGTTGGAAATAATAAGTTCAGGGTAGGGCTGCAATTATCGATTATTTTCATTATCAGTTAATGATCTGATAAGTTTTGCAATTCATCGATTAATTGTTCCATCTAAATAAAATGAAAAATACTAGTCATCATTTCCCGATTGTTAAATGAAATGTCCTACAATCAACCCAAAATCCAAAGACATTCACTCAAACTCTGAAATCTTCTAACAGAATTGTAGAAATATTAAAAATGCTATCCATATATCCACATAGCCTGAAAAACACTCACCCATTAGTTACATTTTTGTTTCATTTCACCTCCTCCACCCAACAACCATGCAGCAATGTTGTATTCAACTGAGCTAATATTATAACTCATACTGGCTCGCAAAAAAAAGGACTTTTCCTGCTAACGTCCCAATGTTATATACAATGGTTTAAGACAGGACAATTTAAAACTAATAGGCTGTTCATGGTTAACATTATGTGTATGGTATGTGCAGTACGTAGCCTACAGTGTCCTAGCCTAATCTGTTAGCATTCCATTAAATCTACTAATTCAGCGGGGGATAATCCACTTACATGCTTGAATGTACATTTTAATTTAGTTAAGATGTGCCGATAATATAAAATTTAAGTCTTTAGTCGTCTTACCTTTAAAAGTGCATCACAACCGTTTTTTTCTGCTGTCACTCTACTGCGCTGTTAGCGAGCCTGTGCTGCTAACTTCCGGGAGCCAGCGGCTCGAAGGGCCGCCATTGCTGTGAACGGAAATGACGCGACTCTCTATTAAGGGCTCTGGCCCCGCAGCTAACGTTATCCGCCTTGCTGCTCCAACAAGGGCTGTGATGTGAAGCTTTGTCATCCAGCTTTGAACTGTAGTGTCTTTTTGGAGACTTATAATAGTAAATCCATAGCAATGAAATCCTACAGCGAATGTCTTCTGTAGTTATTTATCCATTTTCCGATTAAAAATGAAAGTCGAAAAACGTTTAAGTTTGGGGTAAACCCTCGGGTTCGTTAATGTCACCAGCCGTCCAATCACAGCGGAGAAGGGGCGGGACAAACACCTTAATGACCAATCATCACAGAGGTGCTGAACAACAACCATAGACTGTAAAAATGTGCCCAAAGGCTAAATACAATTGAATAAGAAAATGGCTGTATCTCAGAAAATGTTTGACCGATTTTGAAAATGTCTTCAGATGTGTGCTTAGGTGAGCCCCAACACTTCCTCTAAAGGAAATTAAATAATAACTTTTAGTCGATTAATTGTTTCCATTCTAGTTCTGTAAAAAGTAAATTTGTGAACTCACTAATGAGCCATTTAAACACACTAATCACCTATTGAGTGGTGAGCCATCTAAAATGTTGCCCTGCGCACTATTCAAATACTTAAATTTATCCATCAATCCATTTTCATCCGCTTATCCGGAGCTGGGTCGCAGGGGCAGCAGGTCAAGCAAATCACCACAGACATCACTCTCCCTAGCAACGCTTTCCAGCTCCTCCTGAGGGACCTCAAGGTGTTCCCAGGCTAGCTGAGACATGTAATCCCTCCAATGTGTCCTGGGTCTACCACAGGACCTCCTACCAGTGGGTGGGAGCCACAAGAGCCTAATATGGCCATACTTTCAAATGTTTTGTTTGCATTTCAGCACGCTGAGCTGCCAACTCCGTCAAATAAAACACGCTCGACTTCACCGACCTCACCACAGACTGTTTGGTTTGTAGCTGCTGCAGTACAGATCCAATCACACGTTGCATTAAATTAAAGAACGCTTATAGTTCTTGGCTGTGACCAAAACCATACACATTTTTTAAAGATCTGGGTACACAAGGATCAAATGCAGGTATAGTTTAACTGGAGAAATTTTACTACTACTTGGTATTTAGTTGATACCTTCAAAGGTCTTGGGTACGGATACCCAGTTGTATTAGTAACTGAATCCCCATTAATAAGGCCTCACTATCTGTCACATGTTTATGCTGTCCTGTGTCTGAGTAGACTATTTCTTTTAAGACATTTTATACTGTTTATATTTTTATAACTGCATATTTAAGGAATGTTTTTGTGTAAGTTATATTCTGTTACTGCACCTGTAGTGTCTGAAAAATATTCTGTAATGTATAAAACAGTAAAAATTCATTCTTTTTATTTTATTTTATTTAAAAATACAGTTCATCAAGTAAACAAAGACAACGGGATGAGCCTTCTGGAATTATTTAACCTTTAGAATATTTACACATTTCCTTTTTTTTTTGTCTTGTTTTTTTTTTGCTGAAGCATGCATTAACACAAACACATGACTACAGATAGAAACACAGAGTCAGAGTGTGAGAAGCCCCCTGCAGGGTGGAGTAAGACTGCAGCAGCGAGCAGGGTGGAGCCAGAGGGGGATCGATAAGTGCAGCAGAGGAGTCCAAGATGGAAGTTGCAGCAGAGCCGAGTTGATCCGTCAGCTCAGCGTCTGGTGATGTGAGAGGGTGGCTGCAGGCCTCCTGGGAGCCACCTGTCAATCACCTTCCTCAGAGTCATACTTAAAGTCCTGCATGATCTCACTCAGAGCCTCTTTGTTCTTGATGATCCTGCAAAACAGATCACAGTGTTACAAACATTGAGGATATCTCTGACAGTTTCTTTTACAACCGAAGGATGGCCTGTTAAATTAGGAGGAAACGGGGAGTTGTGCAGCCGACAGCAGGTTGATAGTGAGTGAGTGGCTGGGTCAGCAGGGAGTGAACGCAGTAAAAACGGAGGGGTGGTTAATAGCTGCTCTTACTCGTGCTTGATCTCCTGAATCTGTTCTTGACAGCCTTCGTCCTCCGGGTGATCCTGGGCCCGCTGCCTGGCCAGCTGCAGCTTGGCTGTCTGTTGAGAAGACACATCAGATAAGATTTATGCAAACCATTCATCAGTGGAGGATGGAGGGGAGACAGAGGGTGAACTCCAACATAATGGGAGCTTTATGACATTACTGGCAGAAAAGGAAGTTGAGTTAAAATCATAAAGGAGTGTAAAACTTCATACAAAAGTGCTACACATCACCTCTGCACACCAGATGTATGACTGTTCAGGAATGTGGAAAACACCGAGGCGTAACATTTTAACAACAGTGTCTATTCGCTCACGACGAGCGCCACAGACAGACTGCAGCTCTCTTGTCACTGACTTGAAACAGAGCCTGAATAATCCCATCAGACGCATCATGCAGTTTTCCACGAGTGATGTATACTTTACACATTTATGACTTGAGCTGCCAACATAATAATCGGTGGTGAAATGGATTTCAGATGAGTGAGAGATTATGAAATGTTCTGCATAAGAAGTCTGCCCCCTTGTGGGCAAACAGTGGAGTTGTATCAAACATTAAATGAATGTGTGAACTTGAAATAGAAAGCTTTCATTGCATGATAATTAATACATTTGAAACATCATTAGTTATGACAGGTTAAGTGGATGTTTGCAACAGAGAGATTTTTGTGAAAGAATAAGTTGTATTGCTGTATAATATCATTTATATAAGTTGTATAAATGATATTATACAGCAATACTGATATTTAATACACAGGGAAATCTAGAAGTACCACTTTGCAGTCATAGTTTCCGTCCGTGTGTGTGAAAACACGGATGCTTCACACATATCTTCTCCCCAGCAGCACAAATTTTTCAAGGTGAGCACTCAAGATTAGGGTCACCAATTCAGTATCTGACCAATGTCTCCCCTTCTGTTCCTGACATATGGCATTAAGTAAATGGCCAGAAGTGTTTTCGCAGAACATTTGACTGAAATTTTGTCATAATTACAACTGAATTCCTGAATTAGGTTGGCATGGTGATGCAGTGGTTAGCACTGTCGCCTCATGGCAAGAGGATTCTGTGTGGAGTTTGCATGTTCTCCCTGTGTCAGTGTGGGTTTGCTCCTCATGGGTTTTCTCCAGCTTCCTCCCACAGTCCAAAGACATGCAGGTCAGGTTAATTGGTGACTCTAAATTGGCTGTAGGTGTGAATGTGAGAGTAAATGGTTGTCTGTCTCTATGTGTCAGCCCTGTGATAGTCTGGCGACCTGTCCTGGGTGTACCCCACCTCTCGCCCAGTGTCAGCTGGGATAGACTCCAGCCCCCCAGTTACGGAAAATTAATGAATAAGGATTCCTGAATTATGGTCAAAACCAAGCTTTGTGAGGTCACCTTTGATCAGTTCATTCTTCAAATTCAAATTTGAGGGAATTCCCTCAAGGCCTTCTTGAGATATCACTTTCACAAAATAAGGTGGACACAAAGTCACGGTGATCTTTGACCACCAAATTCTAATAGTTCATTATTGAGACCTAGTAGATGTTTGTGCCAAATTGGAGGAAATTTGCTAGGTGTTCTTGAGATATCGTGCTTACGAGAAGAGGACAGACAGCAAGATGGACAGCAGAACGGACGGACAACACGAAAACATAATGCCTCAAGCCACTGCTATTGCTGGTGAGGAAGCATAAAAATGCAAATGAATTAACCCCCCATTACATAGAAGATCTCTTAAATATGGCATGGTTGCCATCTTCTGATGGCTACTTCCAGCAGGATAACGCACCATGTCACAAAGCTCAAATCATCTCAAACTGGTTTCTTCAACATGACAATGAGTTCACTGTACTCCAATGGCCTCCACAGTCACCAGATCTCAATCCAATAGAGCACCTTTGGGATGTGGTGGAACGGGAGATTCACATCATGGATGTGCAGCCGACAAATCTGCAGCAACTGTGTGATGTCATCATGTCAATATGGACCGTCATCTCTGAGGAATGTTTCCAGAACCTTGTTGAATCTATGCCATGAAGAATTAAGGCGGTTCTGAAGGCAAAAGGAGGTCCAACCTAGTACTAGCAAGGTGTACCTAATAAAGTGGCCAGTGAGTGTACCTTTTCCCTGTCTTGGATTCAATATAAAAAACAAAACAGAGTCTTTACTCACCAGTTCAAGTTTCTCCTTCTCTTTGCTCTGAAGCTTTTCAATGTGCTCAGAGAGAGCTGGTCTGTCAAACTCATGGTGCAGCTTCCCCTTGATCTCCAGCACCTCCTTGGAGATCCCACAGAAGGCTTGCGTTACCTCATGGACCAGCTGCCTGTAGTGGTCGAAGTCATAATGGGGTCCTGTCCTCAGGTAGGCCTCATGTCCTCTGGAAGGCAGCAAAAAAACACAAGCAAAGATGAATGAGGTGTACAAGTTTGACCTCTAAGTTCAAGGACAATGATCTCTGGAGGCAGTAACGCAGTAATTTAATAACCATATGGTGGGTCATTACTAGATACTTACTCTTCAAAGAGCTGATAGGTCTCTAGCCGCTCAGACTGAAGTTGATAAAACCTCTGGATCAGGGCTTTAAAGTCTGCAGGCACCTACAGAGAGGAAATTACATTATGTACAGAAAGAATAAACAGAATATTAATCCATCAAAGCTGGATAACTGTAATAATAACTATTATTATTATTATTATTATTATAGGTATTAATATGATTACTTTCTGTGTCATTTTATTTGTACTGTTTTACAGAATGATAGAAAGTATAGGAAAAAGTAATACAAAATAGAATACAAACAAATAGAAATACGTATATAAATAAATAAAAAGGTCCAAATTGCCCTGTCCCTCAAAAGCTGATCATCCTGTGTCATAGTCAGTGACTCAATCTCTCTTCATATATGTCGTTCACAATTTTCAGCCATTCATTTTGTGTTGGTGGGTCTGCCTTGTACCATCTCTTTGTGAAGGGCTTTTTACAGGCCGCCAACAAGATTTACGGTAGTAATCTGTCTTCTCATAACACTATTCCTCCTGCCATACTGCCTAAGTACAATATCTGCATGATCTCATAACCCAGAATTTTATTAATAACCCATGAACATTTACCCAAAACTGTACAATTTAGGACGGAGTCAAAATACATGGTGTAGTAATGCTCTCTCCAAGTATGAGAGGATGTTGTAGACTGTTGTGTTCTCCAAATATGCAGCCATTTATCTTCTGTAATTTTCACACCACCATTTCAGTTTTAAATTTAGGGCCGTATTTCCTCTTCTCTCTGGTAGACACTGATAAAGTGTAAACATTATTTTGTATTTCTTTGATGTGTATACTTCAATTATGGTTTTAATTATTCCATTTTCAGCTTTCTTGGTCACTTAATTAGAAACATGTATGGACAAAATATAGTTGAGCTACATTTACTTGCATATTGTATTCATATTACTAAAAAGAAATATTAGCATAAATTGTGTTTTGGCCTTTGAACAGACTAAATAAGCACATTTCCAGTTAGAGCTCTCACACCCTGTGGTGTTTGACATATTATAGGCTAAATTCTTAATAAACAATTCTCTAATTTTAATTATGTTACATTGTACTACATCTGACTGGTTAAAATTATGTGTTTATCAAGAGATAATACAATAAAGCTTTGTTACAGTAAAGTTACAGGTGACAATTGGCTCTTTAATCCTGACATTAAACGCAACAACTTCAGCTTCACTAGCCAAGTTACTATTAGCTTCCGTTAGCTTAGCACATTAAGAAGTGTTATTTTTAGAGATTCTCAGACGTTAAACTGTGATGTTAAATGTTCAGTACTCACCATGTTAACGTGTCGGAAAATACTGTCGCGGAGTTCCCACGGTTTATCACAGTGACATGTTTATATTTTGTAAATTCAAGAGGTAGCTTCACGTCAGCATGTGAATCAGCAGCAATGTTACCCGGAAATGACGTTGCTGCTCAGTGTATATCGAACGCTTTCAAAATAAAAGTTCGCATTCAACAACGGACTGACAGTTCCTCTTGTTGCCTTTTTATCTTATTTTATAAATATAGTTTAAACATTGTTGTTATAGTTTAAACGTTGTTTTTCTGTGTTTAAACTAGATATTTATTATCAGCATTTTTTGTAATAACATTTTCCTGTGAAATGATAATAAACCTTGAGCTCTTCCTGAAGCTGTGACAGTTTTTGTCAGTCAACCCAGAGTTATGACATAAACAGCATTTGCATTTGCATTGTGGGTGATAAGTAGCTACAGTAAAGGCCTATAGCTAATCTGTATTTGTGATCCCTGGGCAGGGAAATATTTTACTATGCAGACAGTAGTCCACAATATAAACAAAACTGTTTGCAAATTTACAAACAGCATATCACATAAAAAACGTCCCACAAAATATACATTATTTAGTTTCAGGAAAAAGCTTGTTCCATATGCAAAGGTTTAGATCAGTGATCACATCATAGCCATGTTAAGCCATGTTTTAGCCAAAGTGTTGTTTTGAAAACACTGGAATGTAGCTTTAGCTATCCACAAATTATGAGGAGGGTCTAAAGAAGATAGTATATGTATTTCTCAGAGTCGAACATGGAGTCAAATATAGAAGTGACAATGGTATTTAAAAAGATATATGCAATTGAAGTTCAAGTATAGGCCTAGAAAATATTTATTTATCATTCCAACCTTAAAAAAAAAAAAGCTTAAATTAAATATTGTTTCTTTGGGAACAGGATATAGTGTATTGTGATTTTATGATTTTTAAAACTGCACATTTTTAGTAACATTTAAGGTCTACGTGTAAAAGCCAGACTAGAGACAAGAGTTGAAAATTAGCAATAGCTATAAACTCTGTGCAACACATCATCTCTATCAAATAATAATAATAATAACAATAAAAAGACTAACATTAGGTCTGACAACACATCTATTATATTTTGTTAATCCTGCATTAAACACCTAAGTGCAATACAATATATATATATATATATATATACACATATATATATATAAACATACTTTTACACATATGCATGAAGTAGCAAGAAAATCAATTAAGTTTTACATGTGATAATGCTAACTAAGGTGTGTGTTAGTGTTCAGCAAAGTGTTCATTCTGGTCGTGTTGTATGCATTTTTAAAAGACATGTACAAGATGTGTACAGTAACATACTGTTAAACTTCAATTAAAAGCCTAGCCCCTTTTACTGGCCCGGTGTGGCTACACATTTGACAGAAAGAGGCCTGTCTCAATTAGAGGCCTGGTCTTGTTGCCAAGCAGTTCATTTTTATAGAAGTTCTTTGGATGTATAAAACCAGAGTGTTGCCTACCCATGTGAGCTAATGTTAGTTAGCTGCTTAGATCATGCATACAAACAGAAATGTTTTAACATTGTCAATATAAAGATGCTACACGTCATTAGATCAGTTGATTTCATTTTACTGAAGCCATGAGCACCAGAGATGACCCTAAGTCATTCAGATTTGCTGGCATGACAAAAGCAAATAAGCAGTGAGTCCTTTCTTCTGAAGCTGTCATAGAGTCAGACTATGTGTCCATTCCTCAATTACCCAGTAAGTTATCTATATTACTTCAGTCCATAAGGGTCCACCAATCAAAAGAATTAAAGTGTTTTTTCATAGAAATCAATCCAGGTTATTAATATTGTTTTAACAGGACAAAGTGGTGTTGTGTCTGTATGCCGGGTGCCATGAAACAATCATATAACATGATTGATATGTTATTTGAAGCCTAATTTTTGTACAAGTAATATTCATGCTGGTTCAAAAAAACAATTTGATCGCATTTTCCATCTTTGTTGAGCAACAGCGTTGTATGAAAGGATTTAAAGGCCTGTCCCTTAGAGATGCCTGTCTCAAATATAAGCCTGTGACTTGAGCAAATAATAGCCTGGGCTACTAATTGAATTTTTACAGTAGATTGTTAGCATTAAATATGCTTTTATTTACCCAACTAATGTCACTGAATGTAAGATACATGCTGTTAGCCTGTTACAGCCAGCAGAACAGGATAAGCACTCTGTTTTTCAGCCAGCATGAAGAAGTCCTTAAGATGCTCAGAAAAAGTTTAATTTGAAAATATACCTTGTGGTGAGTTTGTTTTGGCAGGACTGTGACGGTTTTATTTTGAAAAGGGTCAAAATGTCTCCTGCAGCTGACTCCCACTAACCAATCAAATGCTGCTGTGCACAATCAGAAACACCCCAGCTCTTTCTATTTAATTACAGAGGGTGTATTATTAAAATGAATTCACAATAATATATGGAGTGGTGTTTCATAAGCACAATATCTGGGCTAATTAACCATAAAATGGTCCCTGAGGTGCAGCTATTCTACCTGTTGCTTCTTATCTTGCAGCTGTATCAAACAGAATAACAGCCCATCCACTGGGGGCTGATCTGAGCCTGGTCTGCTTTGTGTTTATGCCATTTGAAAGCTTTATTCCAATATGGAGGAAAGAGGTCGCAAAGCTACTACTGTGCAGACGCGGGCACTCCTACGCCTTCAGTCTCCCTCTGCCGTTCATTGGTCCATTCAGCATCTTCAGCACCACGCAGGCTGAACAGCGGCACACAGCCGTGCAGCCTTCATCAGATGAGGATGCCGAGCGGCGGATACGCTGCCCTCCACGGTTACTATGACACTGTTTATCTCAGATTTTCAACCCTAATGTCGTTGTTTCATCAGTCTTTAACATGTGTTGACAGCCGGTGTATCTGCAGCTCATTGTCTCCCCGGGTTTGATCGGGAGCGACCCGCCTGTGTCGTCTAACTCTGCAGGAGGAAGCTGTTTTTCCCGTCACAGATGCTCGGACTCCCAGGGTTTGTTTATTCCACCGGGTTTCCCTCCGGTCGAGAGGACAGGCATGCCGGACAGTGACAGTACCACGGCTCGGGTTATAGGCAGCAGCAGCGTCTCATGTTCAGTGCCGCATCAACAAGCCTCGCCGCCCGACCACCGGGTCCCCCTGCCGGCGCCCCGGTGTCCGCCGGTCCCCCGACGCCTCTTGTGACATGACAGCTCGGGGACGGAAGAAGAGGATCAAAGGTTACGGGCAGGGGTCCAAGCAGGAGCAGAGACGGGTCGGATCCTTGAGGAGAGGGCGCACGGAAACAGACTGTGTGCACTGTTTGAGAGGAGAGGATACAATCATACCTGTATCAAAAATTCATGTGATACTTTATTAGTCCCCGCAGGGTGTTTCTCGTGTGGCTCCCACAGAGAGGTCAGAGCAACGGAGCAGCGGCCCCTGGAGTTGCCTATACTGACACAGGGGTGTCCTGGTCTCACTGAACCCAGCTGTCCCCCCTCACTGAAGCCTTATTGTGATTCTGATTCGGGCCTACAGCGTGGAGAGTGGTAGCACCCACCTTTGCCTTACAGTTTCATCTGATGCACGGCCTCATAGTGTTGATACTGGTCGAGTCCCAGTCAGCAGTGTTGTTCCCCAGGCCTGGCAGGCTCACTTGGCTGCTCCTGACCATCACCTTCACCTGCACCGCCATGGGCTGCATCCAGAGCATCGCCTGTAACAAGTCACGCATCAAACGGGAGAACATCGTGGTGTACGACCTGTCGGCCACCATAGACCACTGCCCGACTGTCATTGAGGAGAACTCGCCCATAGTGCTTCGGTACAAGACGCCCTATTTCAAAGCCTCGGCGCGGATTGTGATGCCCCCCATTCCGCGCAACGAGACATGGGTGGTGGGTTGGATCCAGGCGTGCACCCAGATGGAATTTTACAACACCTACGGAGATGTCGGCATGTGAGTTCACACCTCTGTCACCTGCGTCCTCATTACACCCTTGTGACGTGTTTTCAGATGCAAAAAAAAAAAAAAAAAAAGAGTGTGCGCGTGCCTGCGTGCATGCTTGTACACTGTGTATAAAACGTGTTCATGCTTGTGCATCACACTGAGTTGCATGGAGGAGCATTTGTGCACGCAGCAGGTTAACTGTGCTTGTCAGCCTCCTTCATTCAAACGCCCACCGACAGATTCTGTTCCTGTGACTCTGGCACCTAAATAGAAAAGCTGCTATTAGAGGAGCTAAACAACAGTTGATGCTCTTACACTCAAATTGTGCCCACGGAGACATGTCCTCCCCCACACCCACAACACACACACACGTATATATTATCTGTAGGGCATATGTGAGGGGGTGTTTAATCCTGCTGGGTTTAAGGGGTGAGACACTGCATGGGGCTCAGGGTGGTTTTAGGATTGGTCATGACAGCATAACAAATAGATGGAAGGGGGACACCAGATGACAGTAACAGTTTGGCACAACAAAGAGATGATGATAATCCACTGACATACTGAACCACTAGATATCATTTACAGGCAGCTGCTGAGGTCTCAATGCAAGCTTGTGTCTGAGTAAGAATTGTAGAGCTTCTGAAACTATCTTGTTGCCTCTGATTTTCTCTGTGAACAAAAAATCACAACTTTTCCCAACTCAGACACACGAGTGTGTCAGCAATCCCTTATCCAGAGTCACTTTAAATTCAAAAAAGTGGAACTGCTGTCACCTCCAAATTGACTGGCACCTCATTTATACATGTTTGTTGCTGTTAAGGTGGACACTAATGATCATTTCCTGTGTGAATAATCTGTCAACTGTTTTATTGAATCAATCACGCAGGATAAAAATGTAAAAAAAAAAAAATGGTGAAAAATAACATACAATTTCCAAGAGTCCAAGAAGACACCTTTGCATTGCTTCATTTGTAGAAAAAAAGTCTCAACCTCCCCAAAAAGTGTTAAACTTACAGTGAGATAAGAGGTAAAACTAATTCACAAAATAGTCTTATAATTATAAGTTGACTGATTAACCAATTATGTTTCAGCACTGTGAAAGTTTTCTTGATTTTTTTTTTTTTTTTTTACATACAGACTAGTTTTCCTCAATTATCATTCGAGAAATTCAACAACCTCTTATTGTTCATCTGTAGGTCCGGCTTTTGAATAAAGTGCAAGAACGTAAAGTACGAGAAAGTACCTGCAGTTTATATTAGTTAGCAAATGAGTCATTGGACCTTTAAAAAGCAGCTTAAAGCTGTAGTTAACTTTTGTAAAATCAACTTTTTGTTATATTTGCTAAAACTGTCACTACATCCACACAGAAGCAGACAATACAGTTTGTAACAACTCTTAGATCCTCTTCTGCACTCCAACTCACATCACCATCTGCCCGCTTGACTACCACGGGATCTAGAGCCTTCAGCCGTTCTGCGCCCCCGCCTCTGGAACGCTCTCCCCGGTGACATTCGCAATATTGACTCCCTTTCCACTTTGAAATCCCATCTAAAAGTACACCTTTTCAAGCTGGCATACTCAGTCTGATTTAATAGTGACACACATATTGATGGTGATGATTTTATTTTGATGATTTTATACCTACTATTTATAATCATGATTTTTGTCTATTCATTATAATAACTTTATTGTATATCACAGAATTGTTAGGTTTTAGGATCTATGGATACATTGTTGCTTGTTTTTTTAACTGTGCCTCATAAGATGTCCTTGAGTGTCCTGAAAGGCACTTATAAATAAAATGCATTATCATTATTATTATTGTAAATTCAGGTTCCTTCTCACACTCCTTGTGCTTTTAAAGGGATAGTGCACCCAAAAATGAAAAATCAGCCATTATCTACTCATCCATATGCCGACGGAGGCTCAGGTGAAGTTTTAGAGTCCTCACATCCCTTGTGGAGATCAGCAGGGGGAGCGGCTAGCACACCTAATGGCAGACGGCCCCCCAGACTAACGTCCAAGAACACAAAATTGAAACCACAAAATATCTCCATACTGCTCATCCGTAGTGATCCAAGTGTCCTGAAGCCCCGACATAAAAAGTTGTTTCGAAAAACATCATTTGAACTCTGTTTTTAGCCTCATTGTAGCCTGTAGCTCTGACTGCTTCTCTGTGCACCGTGCTCACGTGTGCGCGCTCAGGGTGTTCGGTGATGCACGGTCTCTGAAGAGCAACAGTCTCGTCAGTACTGATGTCCAGATTCTCAAGTGCAGGCATTGCCAATTCCCAGTCTGAGCAGCAAAGACTTTCCTCATCCATTGGCATTGCTTTGCATTTGAAACAACTACACCACCAGGTTTCCAGTGCTCGACTCCAGTATTCTGCGGCTGGCTGAGGGTTAGGCTCATGAGCTGCGACGGCTGCTTCGTCCAGTAGCCTGAGTTCTGCGTCCGTATACTCGGGCTCAAACAAATACGGCTCAACAAAGAAATGCTGTTCCTCCTCAATTTCAAAGTCTTCAGACATGTTGGGCTGTCCTTTGCTAAAAGACCGTAGTGCAAATTATCTTTTAGCTACTGTGGTTACAGTTGTCTCTCCCTGCGGTGCACGTGTCACGTGATGTAAACACGGGTAAGCAAAGCTCGTGCTTTCACTGGGCTCGCGCAAGCGCACACATGTGAGCACGGAGCACAGAGAAGCAGTCAGAGCTACAGGCTACAGTGAGTTCAAATGACGTTTTTCGAAACAACTTTTTATGTCGGGGCTTCAGGACACTTGGATCACTACAGATGGGCATGTTGGAGATATTTTGTGGTTTCAATTTTGTGTTCTTGGACGTTAGTCTGGGGTGCCGTCAGCCATTAGGTGTGCTAGCCGCTCCCCCCGCCAATCTCTGCAAGGGATGCGAGGACTCTAAAACTTCACCTGAGCCTCTGTCGGCATATGGGTGAGTAGATAATGGCTGAATTTTCATTTTTGGGTGCACTATCCCTTTAAGGGCATTTGATAGAATCTACCGCAGCATACAGAAAACAACCAATCAGAGCCAAGGAGTCTCTAACGCAGCTGTCAATCATTTCAATCACTGTCAAACTAGGCAATGCGGATCAAATATGAATCAAGATTCTGTTACTGCATTGCCTATTTTTCACCGCAAATGTTTTCAGAAATATATTTTAGTGTAGTGTTTAGCTGTAAAATGAGAAAGTTGGTCCGGCTGGTGGGTGGTGCTCTGTTTCTCTGGGTGGTAACTGTATACAAATTGGCAGCTGGGTGACAAACTTTCTCATTTTACAGATAAACAGTACACTAAAATGTTTCTGAAAACAACTGAGGCAAGAAATAGGCAATGCAGTGACAGAATCTTGATTCATATTTGATCAGTGTTGCCCAGTTTAACAGTTTGACCGCAGTTCACCAGCAGTGATTGACATGATTGACAGCTACATTAGAGACTCCTTGGCTCTGATTGGTTGTTTTCGTGCTGTACTGCCATTACAAGCACTACGAAAAGTCAGAGGAGCATGATTTTTTCCTGAGATTATCTGTCGCATGTACCACTGTGTGGATGTAGTGACAGATTCAGCAAATATGACAAAAAGGTTGTTTTTTTTTAAATAACCTTCTACAGCTTTAAAGCTGTTTAAAAGTTGTTTTGCTGTCCTCCAGTTAAGTCTCACCTTGCTGCAGTGATGAAGAAGATTACCCAGAAGTCTCTTTGTCTCCAGTCTCATACTGTCTGTCTCCCTCCAGGTCGAGCTGGGAGCTGCCTCAGCTACGAGAAGGGCTGGTGAGGGCCATCAGCGACTCAGACGGCGTGAGCTATCCCTGGTACGGAAACACGACAGAGACTGTCACCATAGTGGGCCCCACCTCCAAGCCATCCCGCTTCATCGTTAGCATGAATGACAATTTTTACCCCAGCGTCACCTGGGCCGTGCCGGTCAGTGAATCCAACACGCCCTTACTGACCAACATCAAAAGGGACCAGAGCTTCACCACCTGGCTGGTGGCGCTCAACACCACGTCCAGGGAAAAGATCCTGCTCCACACCATCAAGTGGAGGATGAGGGTCGATATCGCAGTGGATCCGTCCCTCCCTCTGGGCTCCAGGGCCAGGCTGGTGGGCAGGGTGCACCAGGACCAGCCGCGGGTGCTGACCCGCATGGAGCCCATCCCTCCCAACGCCATGGGGAGGCCCAATGCCAACGACGCCCAGGTTCTGATGTGGAGGCCAAGGAGAGGGCCTCCGCTTGTTGTCATACCACCCAAGTAGATCGTTGGGAGCATCTGATTGGCCGTTTGTTATATCATATCAAAGCGGGCCACCTCTATAGTCAGACAGGATAATCAGATGAAAGACAAAAACAACAAAAATGAAGATCCATAAGCAGGCTGAGACTTGTGTCAACAGCACAAATCAAAAGTTGCAGTCTTTTGCGTGTAAAATCTCGAGGGGACAACCGCCTTAATTCCCCACTGCTGCCTTTGACAATCCAGAAAGTATGTTGGTCTCTCCTTCTGGTGCTGTTGAGCTGTTGGGCACCCAGGCCTTCACTGCAGCCCAGCACAACTGAGCAAAGCTAACTCTGAAAGTCCGCCATTAGTGCTGGGATGTAACGCAAACCTGTACTGTAGCTACTCAGGCCCAGAACAAAAACGATCAAGCCTAAACACAGACCCTGTTTCAAAAGGTTCTTCGGCCTTAATGACGACATGATACTGGCCTGCTCCGTACTGTACAGTAAAGTGCTGTGTACGAGTGTAACCGAGGGAAGGTGATAGTGTTTATGTGTCATGCAACACTGCTGCAGGGTGTATTCATTACAGAGATAACTATAGTATCTAAAATGTTACTGGGATGATGTGCTTTCAGAGATGATGTGAGTGTGGGTGTGCAGGCATGTGTGTTTGTGTTTGTGTGTTTTCTATAATGGAGACCCAGGGTTGGGTCCAGGCTTGCTGCTTTGTCACACCAGACTGCCTCACACACACACACACACACACACACACACACACACCGGTGGCCTCATTATGCTACAGGGAGGGACACTTTGCAAGATGATTTAAAAAACAGAAAGATTGTCAACATACATGCATCCTCAGAGCCACTTTGTTTTTTTAACATATCACAGAAAATGTAGAAATCACAGCTTTTGGATTTGGTGACAGGCACACTGTACGTGCATTCAGACAAACCTTAAATGAAGCCCTGCAGCAGGATTTTTGTTTTTCAATCACAAATGGCCAGTTCATCCGAGCTGCAGAGCTTCTCGCTCCCTGCCTTTTGAAAGCCAGTGATGCCTGTGTTGATGACAACCTTCTACAGTGAAAACACGACAACGTCTTTGCCATGTCCCATCTAATCCTATCTGTGTGGTGGAGAGGTTATTTTATTTAACGAGTCATAAAATGAGTCTGCCGTCAGTGGCTGCGCGAGGACAAACAGAGCCACATGACGTCTTTATCGAGTCAGTATTTGTTGTTGAAGAGCAAAGATTGTAGTAAACTGTATTTACACTGTTAGAAGAATCAGTTCATCTAAATTACAAAGAAAACAAAGCTTCTCACTTATCCAGCCATGCAGATTTTTGGGGGATTTTATTTGTCCAAGTTTTGAAATATCTGTCTGTGACATTTGTGCCTGAAATTTCTTTAGTGATCATAGCTTTGAAAAACTGCATTCAAACAAAACTTAAAAGTCGACAGCCATGCTAGCAGCTCTGAGGCTAAGTGCTAACATGCTAACATGACCAAGTACCGGGAGCGTCCCTATGTTCCCCAGCTTAATACCCACTTAAAATAACTCATTAAGGAGACCTTTTAAAGCAGTGGTTCCCAACTGATGGGTCACAGCTCCATTCTGAATGGACTGCAAGTGACTCACGAATGTGCCAAGTTTGTAAAAAACACACTTTATTTTTAAGTATAGTGAATTTCTAGCACAGCTTTTATTTTGAAGTGCTGTTTCCTGCTGTACACTTAGTGACTAATGGGCAGCTACTTGACAGAGACGGCAAACTAGCTCAATGACATGGCCAAACACAATTATAATGCTGAATATATTTAACTGTGGACATTGACCTTGGACCTTGATTTGATGACGAAGGAGAAATCTGGACCCTGGGGCTGGACCAGTTGGGAACCACTGTTTTAAAGGGTTTTATGTTCTCAGGATTTTTTTTTTAATAGGACAAATGTTCACTGTATGTTCCCCTGGAAGAACATGTTTAAATTTGAATTTGTGGGCAAGACAGTTTTCTTGACTGTAGACATTGATATCAGCACAGTGGCCCAACGGATTATTACGACTAAAACTGCACTCCAAACATCTGTATCCCTCCGATGTTTTGCAATCTGAATTGCGAAGCTAGCCCTTACAAAACTCTTAATACGTTAGTTTATATCAAGAGACACAGGACCCTCGAAACATAGGGACGACATCCCAAGTACCATGTTTACCATCATCTTAGTTTAGCGTGTTAGCTAGTGACGATTGTACAGCTGAGGCTGACGAGAATCATTCTTTTTTTAGCAGGTATTTGGTCATGAACTGAAGTATTAGACATTAAATCTGGATGATGGCGCTAGTAGGAAAGTCACTTAATCACCAAACTTGTGCCACAATGAATATCTCGCTACCTATATAGTAGTTGTCGGAATGGGTTATTAAAAAAACAAATACCGTAAAACTTCAATCAATAGCTCGGGCTGTTATTCGCTTAAATCACTGAAATCAACAGGCCTATATTTGGGACAGGCCATTAACTGCTGTCACACAAAACTGTTGCTCAGCAAAGATCGGGAAATACAATCACATTGTCTATTTAAACCAGCATGAATATTACTTGTTTAATAATTAGGCCTTGGATAATACATCACTTATGAATCATTCATTTGATCGAGCTAGAGAGAGTGACTTATGGCACTTGACGATAAGGGCACCTGGCATGCTGACACAACACCACTTGGAAAACTTGGATTACTTTCTATGAAAAACCCTTTTTATTCTTTTGATCTGAGGTCCCTTACAGACTAAAGGAATATGAATATCTCATAGGGTAATCGAGGAACGGACACATAATCTGAGGTAGCCAACAACCCAGTTTTATACATCTGAAGAACTGCTTGGCAACCAGACCAGGCTTCTAATTGAGACAGGCCTTTATTTGTCACAACATGTTGCCACACTGGGCGTTTAATCAAAGCTTTACGGTATGACAACCTTGTGGTTGCGCAAAAGGAATTACCGAGTAATTAGGACATATCCTTTAGGAACCTTTAATATCTGTACAGAATTTTGCGGCAATCCAACCAGTACTTGTTGAGATATCTAAATGGGGGGCAAATTGGTGGACCAATAAACCAAAAAATTAATGTTGCCATCTTTTGTACAACCCTGCATGGCCAAAAATTGTCACCCTTGATCATCTACAGCCTTTGTTATCAACAGTTTTCATAAGAGTAACTTCTTAAAAGTATTTACAATGGAAACTGCTTCTGGAGAGACACGTTGATAATGATTTTAAATGTAAACTGTCAAAGCTGTGAGCGTGTGGCACTCCGGTCACCTCCACTGTATCAGGTGGAGGCAGAAATCTTTAACGCGGATATCTGAAAACCTGGGAAAATAAGTGAAACTTTCTACATGGCTAAGTACCGACAGAAGTGAGAAGTTTTTTTGTAATTTGGGTGGAGTGACCCTTTAAAGATTGGTGCAGTATTTGGTTTACACAGACATGTTTCTTGTGCCATTAAGCTCTTTTTTTATGTGTTTTTATGAAGACTCATGACGACAGAATATTTCACAGTCATGCTGAATCTGAAGATGTTGCTGATCAGACAGGTCTATACGTTGTATTTCTGTTCACACACACTCAGCACACAGCAGACCAGTGAAACCGCTCATGCCGAAGTGCTGAGCTGGTCCCGATGAGACAGAGATGAAGAGAGAGACGGAGGATGTAACCACGTTATCTTACCCATGCTGCTGCTCATTACTCCTGGTGCAAACCGAACGAGCCTTCACACACACACATACACACCTCACCTGGAACGACGCCGGGAGTGTCTCTGCCTGTGTGTTGCCAGCCGTGCAACACACTCATCACACAAACACTGGATAGTTTAACAACATGCCAATTGTAGCCATTACACAGGAGCAGTTTGTGACGCTGACAATCAAGGGAAACATCTAGAGCAGCACTTTGTAACCGGAGGTGATCTTTACTGGTCTGATTATCAGAGGATTGAGGCTTTTATAGGGGGAAAGGAAGCAGAAACTTTTTTTCACATGTTGCCCCAATTAAAATAAAGTGTTGGCGAAAATAGTTTATACTTGACCACGAGGTCACACAGTCTGCTGTCTGTGTGTATCAGGGCCTCAAGTGTCTTTTACAGTAACAGATGTGCCTGAGGACTGGAGGGAGAGCGGTACACGGCCCTTCACGAGGAGCTTTACTCGTTAGTTCCTACTCGTTCTGCTGATCGACTGTCTGATGCAGTTATTGGTTTAAAATGGCTGGGTGTTTTACAGTGTTATATTATGAAGGACGTGAAACTCTGCCGTGTTACAGTCCTTTCTCTCAGACTGTCTGGCTTTTGCATGCAGTGTTTTTAAACTCATTAAAACAAATGCCAAAAATATCAAAGTGTGAATTTATTCATGTCATGTAGTTTGCAGCTCAAAGGCAACGTGCCAAGTATTAAATTAGACAAGGTAGACTTGTAATTGTGCAAAAATTAATCTAGACTCAGACAGCAGGGGGGGATTGTGTTAGAAAGAGTGACAAGCTGTTGAGATGACTCCATGATACACTGAAAACAATAAACTGTACAGTGCTGGAACTAGCACATTTGGCACCCTGGGCAAACCCCCACCCCCCAAAAATATGTTTTTATTATTATTATTATCATGTTTATTGTATTTATTACTAACTAGAACAAGAGCTAACAAGAAAACAATGCAAACAAGAAGACAATCCAGTGTGCAAATTGGCAAATTTCATCTTTCTGTTTGTGTACTGCACCTCAGATGGCTTTTGCCTTTTCACTGTTTCTTACTCTAAAACTCCACATACACTCCATCATTTTCCTTTCATTCAGTGTTGTCAATTTGCCGACTTTCTCACTAGATCTGGCAACTTTTCAGCCCCTCTTACTAATTTTAATGCTACAAAGCAACTACTGAAAAATCTAGCAACTAAATTCGACCACACATGAAAAAGAGAAAAATATATATTGTTATTCTTTCCCATGCACAGCTCTTCCTCCATCAGCCCAAAGTCTCTCCCCCTCTTTCCTCTTGCACTGTGTAGTAGGTGTAGGATGGGCGACGAGAGGAGACGCTGCTCACAGTAGGAGTTCAGTTGCAGTGAGACTCTAGGAAGTGGTGCACTATAGTATAAGCACAATAGCTCTCATGCCATTCAGATTTTTTACTAAGGAATGTTCCTAGTGAATCTAATACAGGGAATGCACAATGATGTCATCAATACACATATAAACGCACGACACCATCTGGCAACTTTTAGAGCTAGTGCTGGCTACTTTAATTGGAAAAGAGTTGGCAACACTGATTTTGTTTGATTTTTTTGAGAGTCAAAAAAGAAACAAAATTTGGTGGCTGACTGTGTCACCTATAGGAAGAGCCACCACTGATACCGCAGTGAATCTAACACAGTGGTTCCAAACCTTTTTCCTTAAGGGACCCCTTTTCTATCTTTGAATGTACTGACAACCCCTGACTAAGTGACATATTTTATGGATATTTCATATTTAATGTATGACAATAACAATACAGATAAAGATGAGCCATTTGGATGAATTTTGAGCAGATTATTTATGCACATTGCATCAGAGAGGCCTGTTGTATATATATTTTTAAAGTTCTCTTAGGGTGCTTTCACACCTGCCCTGTTTGGTTCAGTTCAATCATACTCCAGTTCATTTGGGCAGGTGTGAACACAGCGATGACACTCGGGTGCGCACCAAAACAACCATACTGAGACCTTCTTGAAGAGGTGGTCTCAGTCCTGTTACAAATGAACTCTGGTGCAGTTCGTTTGTGGTGACATGACACATTGTTTGGGTTAAACATGAGCATGTTACAGTCCTGGAGGATTATTAATGTGCACCTCCTCCTGTACTGCCTTAATATGCACATTCAGCACATCCAATGCATCAAAACATTGTTTTCTAGTTGGAGCCGCGCCTCGTTTTCAAACTGTATGGTTTGACTAAAATGAACAATGACAGCAATATAGTCCACGATGAGCAGCGCTAAAATCAACCTGCGTAGTTGTCCCTCCATTGTGACATTAGAAAGTGTCACATTTATTATTATTATTTATTATTATTATTATTATTATTGCAAGTGTACTCTTCAACAATTTGTTTACTTCCTGGATTTTTCCCACATGGAAATTCTGACCAATCAGGAGCAGCTTTCTCGCACAAGGCATTTGATCTGGTCCACTTGTAAATGCTGCCGTGAGAACACGAACCAACTCTAGGTAATTATGCAACTTTATAACAAAATTAGTCCCTGATTCAGACCAAAGCAAGACAACTCTAGGTCTGAAAGCACCCTTACATCCCTAAAATCAAGAGGGGCTTACGACCCTCTGTCATGATTTGGTGACCCCTAGTGGGGGTTGGGACCCCCAGGTTGGGAACCAGTAAGTCTTTTGATTAAACACTTCAAAATAAAAATTTGTGCATTTTAGTGTAGAAGGAGGGAGAAACACAATGAATTCAACACAAGTTAAAGGAAACATTTTTTTTCTTTTATAAAAGATTCACATATTGGTAATTAAAATAATAAAGTTATTAATTATACCCGCTTCATCCCAAAAAAAAAAAAAAAAAAAAAAAAAGAGTCGCTCCAGAGGAAAAACACCAAATCAAATGGTATAGTCCAAGATTACTTTCTATGTGAGTAGTGCCTCGTGGATGTCTGATATCATAAGAACAATTCAGTCAGTTCAGACTCAGGTGGGACACATTCAGTCATTTTTGATTACTTTGCCACAAAGTCAGCAGAATATATTGTTACACGAGCACACAGGGGACACAGGGATGTTTATAACCAGTGGCTCTGAAATGTCATGTAAACGCCTGATTAACGAATGAATAAGTTAAACAGACAATTCATTTATTTCCATAGATTACAATTTAAACGGAGCCAGTATTTACGCCCAAGGTTAACATAATTTCAAGTTTTACAAAATAATCTTCACCACATAATCAAACTGTCCTTTTCACTTCAAAATCAATATCACCAAATAATAATCGCCCGTTACTGCTGCCTAGAGCAGTGTTTCTCAAGTGCCCGATTAGTTTATTCCTGTAACATTTTATTCATACACCCAGACTACTGTAAAACATTTAACTCCACCAGACACAGACAGACTAGTCATACAGTAATTCTGTCACTGTATATGTTATCAAAGACGTCCCAGTAACTATATGTTGCCTGGCAACAAAAAACTGTTTCCAAAAATAGCTGAACAAAACCATTACAAGGGAGCCATAATTTAGGAAACAATACAAGTTATGGTCGCTGCAACTACAAAAGTCTAAAGGCTCCTGGTGCATTGAGTTGTTCTATGCCCCGAGTCGTACCTCTCAGGCATCCTACACCATTTGACTGATAGAGTTTGCAGTAATGTACACAGCTTTAGAGTGAACGATGGCTGGGAAGGCTCATTTCGGGGGGAGAAATGTGCTTTCAGAGCTAAACGTGGAACAAGAAAGACTGTCGGAGTCTTAAATACTGCAAATCTGAGGTGAACAAGCCAACAATGTGGGCTAAAGTCACACTACATCTAAAAAACGTGGTTCTGAAGGAGATTTAGAAACACCTGTCTGTCTGCCGCTGTAATCCTTTATTGTGTAGGTGTGACGGATGTGGCAGTTACAGTGAGTGGCAGTCAAACAGGCTCTTATTGACACAATCAGTCGGTCCCGTGGAGAATACCTCTCCAGATCTGTAGGTGTGGCAGCCAGGATTATTTCTACAGTGGTAATTATAGGAACAAAGGAAAAACAAACAATCCTGTTTCGCCATAGTTTTCTTTTCTCATTAGTTACCCTTCTCAGCTGAGGCACTTCTGGTGTGTGAGACCCATCACAGCGTTGTGCTTGCTTTTTATTTTTTCTAACCATTTTCACTCTGTCTGTCCTCTGTTCCCAACCTGCTTACCTCCCCTCTTCCTCCTCCTCTGCTCTGTCTCTTCCTTTTTGTGATCACAATATATGATAATGACCTTTCCCCTCCTTTTTTCTGCAGCTCTCTGTCCTCCTTTCAACGCTTCAACAGGACCTCCTACTGCTGCTGTAGTGTCAGCCGTGAGTGTCCTACGCCCTGCTGGGGTTGGGGGATGGCTTGCCTTCGTAGCCGTAGAGGAAAGTGGCTGTGATGACCAAAATGGCCCCCAGGAAGAACACGCTGTGGACGACAGCAGACAACACCGTCAGCTCGAGATATTCTGACCATGAGAAAGACATAAAACACAGTGGAGAGACGGAGCAAAAGGTAGTGACTGCTTCCTCTACCTGGTGGGGTCGAAGTCCTGTAGCCAGAAGTACGATATAAGAGTTGACAGGATGATGGATAGCGATGTAGCAAAGCCCTTGAGGATGTTGTCTGCATACTTGATGACCGCTGCTATGACCAGACCACCCAGCGCCTGGAGAAACAACAAACACACAGACACAGATGGACAAAGGCATGACCTGAGCGGACCGACGGGGAGTCTGATCCATGAAATAAAGAGGCTGTTACCCCAGAGGCTTCATATTATATTTGACAGTTAGGTGGGAAATATTGAATCCCTGGCAGTGGGGTTAACATTAACCTGCAGAGCTACGACAGTCCAGGTGACTGTGTTGTATCCCTGGAACATTCCTGACTCCTTCACCCTCTCTCCGTCGTAGGCCAGCATCCCAAAGAGGCCAAACACCAGGCCAAACATCCCTGGAAACACATATGTCAGTAAATCAGTGAGCTGAAGATCTGTCCAAAGATCTCACCGTGAAGTCTGATAAGAATAAAACTAAACTATTACGATTCAGTTAAAGACAGACATTCAGGTGGTACCAAGACTACGCTGTGCTCAGACAGAAAGCACAGCAAATTTTCGAAGTTGTCGTGTATAAAGTCAATGTAAAGATGCACAAGGATGCAAATTTCTCCAAAGATTTTGTTACCAATTGAAAAAGCCCAGCTGGAGAGCACTTTAAAGGCATGTTTTTCAGCTGAGGCATTGTGGTAGTGGGCTCAGGGGAGACTGGAGCCTATCCCAGCTGACACTGGGCGAGAGGCGGGGTACATCCTGGACAGGTCACCAGACTATCACAGGACTGACACATAGAGACAGACAACCATTCACACTCACATTCACACCTACAGACAATTTAGAGTCACCAATTAACCTGCATGTCTTTGGACTGTGGGAGGAAGCTGGAGTACCCTGAGAAAACCCATGCTGAAACAGGGAGAACATGCAAACTCTGCACAGAAGGGCCTCCCCACCCTTGAGTTCGAACCCCCACCCTGGGTTCAAACCAGGAACCCAACACTAACCACTGCACAACTGTGCCACCATATACCATACAGTATATTGACATATTTCTCCTCCACTGTTGTTGCCATTCAGTGCCTGTACATATAAGATGTGATGGTTGGTTTTTGTGTATTTGTCCCGCACCTCCTCCACTGTGATTGGACAGCTGGGTAAAAAGTTAAAGTCATGAGCACAGCATTCTAAGTTGAAAATTTTTTACCTTTTGGTGCTCGGGAAAAAAAGCCAAACATGCAGCAAGTAGTGCAAAATAGATGCTCAGAGCCTTGTCATGCCTGCTGCCAGGTGCAATGGTCCCATTGCAAAGAATCTAAGAAATGCTGCAGCTTACATCAGTGATAATATTAAACTTGGAGGAAAACGGAGACCGAAGAGAAAAAAGAAAAAAAAAACAAAACAAGAAAAACAAAACAGATGTCCATGTGAGTTCTGAGATCAGTCAGAGGCTCCGCTGGCAAACAAACACACACAAACATTTAAACACATAGCTGGTTGCTCTTTAGCCTCTGGCAAACATCTGTAGGGTTGGTACACTGGCTGTTTAGCATGAATAAACAAGGCTACTAACTTGCTAACAATGAGAAAGCTAACATACTTAAGTTTAGAAGGTATAAGGTTTTTAGCACAGATTAAATATTTATTTAAAGGTGTTGGAAGTGAGAATTTGTTCTTCAGACAGAGCCAGGCCCGCTGTTTATGCTAATGTAAGCTAAGCTAGCATTAACCCTCCAGTGGCTCTGGCTTCATATTTAGTGTACAAACATGAAAGAGGTATCAATCTTCTCATCTAAGTCTCAGCAAGAAAGCAAATAAGCTTTTTTTTTCCAAAAATAACACACTATTAATTAAATATCTTGCTACAGCACGTACTCCAAGTATGCTTTCTTCCCTACATTCCTATTTAGACTGTAACTAACAAGTAGGCCAGGAGCCAGGTCCAGCCCTCATGATGTTTCCTGCTAACTTTTTTTTATTATTTCCTGGTAGCCTATAGGCCATCACATGTTAATAACAAGCACCCCCAACTTGGGCCGTTTGGTCTCAGGGGACCCAAAACCCCTTTTTTGGGACATATTTCTGGCGAAATTATGTAAATGCAAATATTAGGGCACTACAGTGGCATAAATAATCATTCAAGTATGACATTTGGCAAGCAGTATCCTGACACAAAGGGGAAAGTAGCAAAGTAATATTGTGGGGCTTGCTTCCATTTTGTTTCAAAATATCACACACAACAAACCCTGTAAAAACAAAAAAATACTACTTTAATCATTGTAAAAATGCACATCACATCTTTCAAGAGCCTAGGGTGACATATTAAAATTGTTTGTTTTGTCAGATCAGTGGTGGCGGCACGGTGGGGAGTTCGAACCTTGAACCTGTACGGAGTTTGCATGTTCTTCCTGTCTCAGTGTGGGTTTTCTGCGGGTACTACGGCATCCTCCCACAGTCCAAAGACATGCACGTCAGGTTAACTGGTGACTAAATTGGCCGTAGGTGTGAATGTGAGTGTGAATGGTTGTCTGTCTCTATGTGTCAGCCCTGTGATAGTCTGGTGACCTGTCCAAGATGTACCTTGCCTCTCGCCCAATGTCAGCTGGGATAGGCTCCAGCCCCCCCAGTGACTCCAACAGGATAAGCAGTTACAGTAAATGAATGAATGAATGTCAGATAAACAGTCTTAAGCCAAAAATATTCACTTATCAGTCATATAAATAGAGAAATGTCAAATAACTGAAACAATTAGATTATAAAAACTATCAACTAACTGTCTCAGCACTAATTCCTAGTTTCCTTTACTTTACTATTTTTGTATCACTTTTAAAACCACTACAAACAACAACAAAAAACAAACAGCGTTTTCGTCAGTGCTCTGGTTGCAGATCTAGGCTCCAACATTTAATGCAGGTGAAAAAGCTCCAAGCTCACACCAGGAATCGCAGGAGACTTAACACATGCCTCACACGCTCCAGGGTAAAAATAAACTAGACAGGAACATTCATCTTAACAGAAACATATCGGAGGTAAAAGCCCAGCTGGCTCTCTGCGCAGGAAGAAAGGAGCTCGCTTCAGAAACATGGACTTTGTGCCTTTTTCAATCTGTTTTCAACAACATCTCACAACAGTGTTCTTCTGTTGATGGAGCATTGATGTTAAGTCATTAACTTCCACTTCATATGTGAGAGTAGCTGTTGTACTGTGAGAGACTGACTGGAGTGTGGATTGATTCGACTGATTGATGAATACTGACCTAGCTGGATGTTGCGGACCCAAACGCTTTGTTTGCTCTCCTTTAAGATCTTCTCAAAGTAGACACCAGCAAACCCACTGGAGCAGCACGCAACCAGAACTGCTGCTACACCGACAAACTGGGAGCCTGCAGAGTGGGCCTCTTTCTCTGGGGTTGCTGCAGACTCAGAGGGCCACTGCAAACACAAGAGAAACACATAGCTTGTCATAAACCGTGAGCTTTTACCTCACAGAACACAGGAGCTTCTGGTCTACCATTGTGTCGATCAGTGAGTTTGTTTGTGTTACTGTGTGAGTTTGGTGTTTTAAAGGGTTATTTCATATTCACCAAAGTCACACAATAACCCAGACTAACTAACCTATCCAGGCAGAGGTAGACCAGCAGCTCCTGTGCTCTGCGAGGTTTTTTGTCAAAGGAGTCTGGTGGCTTTAGAGAGAGCAGAGATAATGGCTTTAGTTCCCTGTCGGAAAAAACTGTCTGAGAGCAAGGTAAAGCAGTGAGAATATTCTAAATATGGCGCACACTTAAACTGATTTTGATTTTTTTAAATGGCCAAAATATGTTGACGTACAGCAGTACATTGATTAGCTTCCGTGGCAAATGCCGAATGACATCTACTGTAGGTAATACACTGACTATGGATTCATACCTCACACAACCCCACTTAAAAGATTTAAACTAACCCTTTAAGTTAAAAAAAAAATTTTCTCAAAATATTATACAAAGTGGGAATAAAGAAAGAAATAGATTGTTATTCACCAGAGGGGTATTCCAGGTAGGAGGTTCAACAAACTCTGAGTCTGTCCCTGAACTCTGAGTTGACTTACTCTGAGATGGGAAACTCTGAGTGTCCGGTTCCAGAACAGCTGATCTGAGTTAATTCAGTCAACTCTGAGTATGTTCACTCTGAGTTAAACCGACAATAAAAAGCCATCATCAATGGAGCTCCGACTCCACGATTCACCATGGCAACAGGTAAATAAAAGACAGCGCCTCCATTTTAATCCAGTGGATGTAGAAATATTAATGCATGTGTAGCAGACAGTGCACGTTTATCTTTAAAAGAAGAGTAAATAAGTTCACCATAAAGTTAATAAAAAAGTTTTATTCAGTGTTGTCCATTTATTCATCATTTATCAGACTTACATGTCCTTAATGATGATAAAGTGGTGGAATCCGACTGTGTATCAGGCTGTAGATAGGCCTACATTACATTATATTAATTATATACAATAATATATTAGTTCAGATTTAATCTGATGGGGAAAAACACAGGAGGCAGCAACTGAAAAATAGGAAGATTTAAAACACATAGGCTAGGCTATAGATCAAAGACATAAAGACTTGACTGTAAACTCACAGTCTGACCCAGTAATAATATGTTTGGTGGTTTGCACTTAAAGACGTTGAGGTTAAAATACAGTAGGATTTTAAAATGTTGCACATCTATTTGTATCTTGACTCAACAGCATTCAGTGACTTTATTTCAGCTACAAATGTAGTAAATTTAAAGACACTGAAATGCTGCACCATTGCTCACTCAGAAATATTAACATATAATCCCCAATATTAGGCTATAGGAATTATGTTCCATCAGTGCGACCAATGACATCAGTGATAGAGATCATTAGTCATTGATACTACGTGTCTAAAGCTTCATACCGATTTTTAAAATTTAAATAATTAGACCTACACATTATGTGCAATAAACATTTCGGAGCTGCTCTAACAGACTAACAGTCTGATTCTTGTGCACAGTGTTATAAAAAATAATAAATATAGAAAGGACAGAGGTTTGATTCTGAGCTGAGGATGAATTCTCGCTGTGTAATATTTGAATGTTAAGACAAAAACCGACATCCAAAGAAATGACTGATGTGCATAAATTCAGTAACTTAAGACAGTCCTGAGTAACAAACTAATATCCAGCAGGATTTAGACTGTGACAGACGGTAAATCTCCGCTAATTAATGCGCTTTGATACAAGCTTTGACACGGACTGAATGAATGAGGAAATGAAACAGCGTGTAAGAGGGAGGAGACAGAGAAAAACTCAGGGTTTATTGAAGAAAACCTGCCAGCGAGCAGGTTATGTTCACAGAGTCTGTTACCATGGTGATTGACTCAGAGTTTCAGTTACCTCTCTTTCTGGAACAGATAACTCAGAGTTTCCCTCATCTCAGGGTTAACTTACTCTGAGTTTTCACATAACCCGCTTTCTGGAATACCCCCCAGGTTAGCTGTTACCCGCTGTCTCCAGTCTGTGCTACAGTAGGTCCATTTCATTTCACGGACACTCTTTTGTTGTGTACATTCCTGACTTGTATGTTGTGAGGAGCATTTTTTATTAATGTGTATTTCCAAAACTATTTGTAGCATTTTGTATTTTTGCTTGTATGTAGCCTAGATCAGTGTTTCCCAACTGGTGGGTTGCGGGCCCATTCTGAACGGACTGCAAGTGACTCACAAACATGTCAAGTTTGTTATAAACACATTTAGTTTTGAAGTACAGTGGATTTCTGACACAGAGTTTTAATTTAAAAGTATCATTTCCTGCTGTAAAGTGAGTGACTAACAGACAGCTACCTGACAGAGACAGCAAACTAGCTCAACAATATGGCCAAATGCAAGTATGATGCTGAATGTATTAAACTGTATGGACCTTGAACTTAAGACTAAGGAGAAATCTGGACCCCATGGCTGGACCAGTTGGGAACCACTGGCCTAGATGTTGTTGCAAATGTGCAATGAGCCAAGTACTCAGCTCAATGCACATTTTTATACATGTCTCATGGCATGTGTTATAGTGAAACCAATGGAAAAGTTTTCGTATTTGTATTCATATTCATGAGCTAGCCTTCTGCTAGCTGTAGCTTCATATTATGTATAAGGGAGAGATATCAGAGTGATTTAAACTTTCTTATTTGGTTCTTGGTATCGGTAGTGCATACGCATTATTCCAAAATGTCAAAAAAATGTCACATGTCAAACTATTTCTTTAAGTACTCCAAGGAAAACTGTTTTCTATACAACCAGTGTGTCAGTATAAGAGGATGCAAAACAGAACTGACAGCCACTAACTGTCCAAAAAAGCCTCTGTGTATCATCCAATAAATAAACATCTATATACCAGTGAAACTTCAAGTATGTACTTGGTACACCCTGAACTCTCTGTAAAGATTAACAATCACACTCTCTCTAAATCCAGGATGCTGGGTACCTGAAGTTCATACAAAAGCATCTTCACAGCTTTGCCAAGTTGTAAAAATGCTGCAGAGTGTGAGTTCCTGCGGTATGTGCTGCAGTAAGCAGGAAAATGGGTGTTAATGCAGAAAAAAAAGATGATGATCTCTGGCTGTACAAAGTAAGAACAGTATTGTAGCTACTGCACTTTTTCTTTGGATACAGAGAGTCAGTGTTTGGTGAAGATCAAGAACAACATGCTGTTTGCCTGCCACCTCTATACCTCCTGCATCCATCAAAGCAAACCCTGCTGAGTGAGAACTAGCAGTATAAACCTTGAAATTAGAAGTTGTATTAATGTAAAACAGGCCAGTTATTTCTTCCTCGTGCTGTCTCTTACTGTTTGCAAACAGGCTGTGTGTTAATATCACATGTGATATCCCTGCACAGTTTGGGAGTAAATGTTTCCACCTGCCTGATCCTGTAGATTTATGAAGGTGCATCTTCATATCCTCCACCTCCTCCTCCTCCTCCATTGTGCTTCTGTCTGAGCGCTCAGCCAGCATTAAGATCACATCCGGTGTAATACCAACTGACGGGCATTTTCTTTGTTTTGCCAAGAAGGAGGAGGAGGTGATATCACAACAGTCTTTCCTTTTCTGACACTTCATCATTCATCAGCACCACTGGTGGCCAATATTTATTTAATGCTCCAGTTCAGGCCTCATTAATTAGTTTTATTTATCTAACCTTTACCTAACTCCCACTGAGATTCTTTTTCTTTATCTGGCCACCAGAATAAATCACAGATCGCACGATTAATTCACACAAAAATCCCAACACACGTCTGAGTGAATGCTCGATTAGACAAAGTGACACCTACAGAATTGGCCACGTCCTCTTTCTTCTGAGATTTAAAAGCACGAACAAGCTGGATTTTCTGAAGTCTTTTAGTATTATTCTGTACAGACATAAAAAGCAACCACAGTACAAAGAGGTAAAAGAGGCATGCTGTGAATTTCTACATGGAATCTGGTGACATTGGGCCAAATAACAAACCTGCTTAACTAGTGGTAAGTCCAAAGTTCACAGGCAAGCCTACAAAAACACAGAGACATGCTCATAGCAACTATCAGAGCCCAAGCTGACACCTTAAAATGTCTTTCTTTGTTCGATCAGCAAAGATATTCAGCTCACAATGATATTAAAACCACATTTGAGAAGCAGGAACTAGAGAATGCCTGGTATCTTGGACTGGATAAAGACTGCACACGCTGAAAGGTAAAGTCGTAGCTCTTTTAGAGGATGCAGAGCAGGCCAAGCAAAGCACCCCAGACATCCCTCTCCCCAGCAATGCTTTCCAGCTCCAAGGCGCTCCCAGGCCAGATGAGATATTTAATCCTTCCAGCGTGTTCTGGGTCTGCCCCGGGGCCTCCTACCAGTGGGACGTGCCGTTACACCCCTAACAGGAGGTGCCCAGGAGGCATCCTGATCAGATGCCCGACCACCTCAACTGACCACTTTCAACGTGAAGGAGCAGCAGCTCTACTCCGAGCTCCCTCCTACTGTCAGAGCTCCTTACCCTATCTCAAAGGCTGAGCCCAGCCACCCCACGGAGGAAACTCATTTCAGCCACTTGTATCAGCGATCTCATTCTTTCGGTCACTACCCAGAGTTCATGACCATAGGTGAGGGTTGTAAACTTGAAAAAGAAAAGTCAAGGTCCAAGAGGATCGACTCGTAAGTGTTACTAATAAACTGTGAAGCTGAGCAGGAGCAGTGTGCAGGATTTTCTGTTCAAAGACTCAATCTTCGTTTATGTAAATGAAACTGGAGGTGCTGTTGCACTTACTGCATTTAAATATCGTTCACTGTACAGCAGGGTAGAACTCTGCCGAATTAAATGTGAACAGTTTTTCCATGTTCTTGTTAATATGATCACAGAATGTACATATGAGTGTGTGAAAATGCAAATTAGATTACCACATTTTAATTTTAACTCAAATAACATGTGCTTGTGAAAATGATAGGAATCTATTTTCATTTTCAAGTTTTACAGTATCAAGTTAATCAAGTCCCCTCTGGGCTTCCATAAACCAGGTGTTTCTATGTGCTTACAGCTACTTTTACATGAGGAGAAACCACAGAGAGGATGTTCTGTGGCCTGTTTGTATAGATGGTGAAATAACGTGATTTCCTTTTTAACACACAGTGTTAAAAAACAAAGAGAATGCCGGTACTCACAGATATTTTTGCTATGAAGCCATCATGGGTGTGATAAATCAAGCAGGAACTTATACAAACAGGTGAGGTTCAAACAGAGAATACATGACTGAATGAGAGAATTCATCTGTGAAGGAATGAACCACCTAGAAGAGGCCTCTCCCAGGAAGGAGGAGTGCCAATCAGAAACAACAACAACAACAGCCATTGTCACAAGCGGACGTGTAAAAAAAGATGCGCAGGACGGGAAACATATAACACAATAACAAAGTGCCAATGTCCTCAAAGGATTACTTCCTAATTAACAGCATCTTAGCTTGTTACTGTTGCTAAAGTTGGTCAAATTTGTTGCCATATCAAACTACAAACAATATTAATCATAAATAAACAAGTTTCAACCATAAAATGTGATCAGGTTTTGGCTGCCATCTTGTTTTTAAACAGATTAATGTAGTGTGGTCTTACTTAAGGCAGCATATAGGTGCCACAAAAGAAACATACAATCAGTATCAGGTAATAACATTACAAAAACTGTTGTACTCCTGTTACCACCACTACATGGCACAAAAAGTGTCCACATATGAGGACGCAGGGTCTCAGGAGGATGTATTGTTTAAGATATCTGGAGTTGTGTGTGCTGTGTTTATTTAATCATACAAGCAGTAAAGAGACATGAAGCTGTACTGGACCTGCACGAGAGCCACTCCAGCCATAAGAATCAGCAGCGAGAGCCACTGGTACACTCCCAGCCTGCGGCCCAGCATGGACACCGAGAACAGAGCTGTGGTCAGGATCTTCAGCTGGTACGTCACCTGATGGACACAAAGTGGGAAAAACTGTAAATTAACCATGAACAAAGACGTGCTAATTGCTAAATGGCACAGACGAGGTCCCTGTGTGTCTAACACTGAGTCATGCTGTAAGTCACTCAGAACGCGGTCTCTCCTAACCCAGCCCGCCCTCTATCTGCTGTACCTGGTAGGTGGCTGCGTCCAGGTTGGACAGGGCGACGTACAGCAAGTTGTTCTGCAGCGTGTAGATCCCCGAGGGAATTGCCAGCTTCAGCGTTTCTAGGGGTTTGTGGGCAATTTCCTGACGCAGAACGCTGTTCAGTGCTCGCATGCTGTAACCTAAGGAATGAAAACAAACGGATCAGCAGGTGTATATAAATTCAATTTGTAGTGTAGTTTGTCTGTAGCAAAACGGGTTGGTGGTAAAGAAAATAATATTTTCTGATGTGACAATAGTTTGACGGCTCTGGCATTGTTTCAAAAGGCAGGTTCTTCTGCCTTTTTGATAACATGATTGAATAAACCTGAACTAGTTCTCGTTACATCAGTCCTAGTTTCACATCTGGGGGGCTTCAAGGTATTACAGACAATCCCATAAAACCGCTTTTTGCATCAAGCAGTGGAACAGATGTGATTTACAGAGAGGGAACACCCTGAATTCAGTGGGACAGGAAAACCCTGAAAAACCTGCTCAACATTTCTCAACAGGATGGTTTCTCAATACGAGAGTACGAGAGCGTCTGCAGCTGCAGTATGATGACTACTCTTAATAAGGCAGGTGCTGAGTGTTGAACCTCAGTGACCTTTATGAAAACATAAGTGTGTCTGTAGCACTGTCAGGTGCCAAAAGCCGACCAAAGCTATTTTTATCCACTTATTCTGTGATCATGATGATTCCCTGATTTGGATTTAAATCATAAATCCTCATTAGCAAAGTTGTTGAGCGGCTGCCTCTTGTTAGACAACATTGAAAAAGTGAGAACTTTGGATTATTTGTTTAATAAAAAAATGATTTTGTCAACTGTGTTGTATTTCTTTATTGATACCAAAACAATTATAAACAAAAATACTATGAAAAAATCTAATGATTTCCAGGCCTGGATTTCCTTTTTATGCCCTCAAGCTTGCTTTATTTTTCTTATTAAAATAATTATCATTATTTTATTCATATTCATATTACAATAATATATCATATTTCATTTAATATTGGTGTAGCGCTCTATTTTGTGGTGTAGTTTTTACACTTTTATGTTTGATTTTCTTTCTGAAATGTTACAAAGTAAAATTGCTAACCATTGTTGTTTAACATGGTTTTATAGATATTATATGATATCAAAAAATATATATATAGTCAGGGCTGAAAATTCGAAATTTGAGTCATAAGGCAGGATCAAAACTAATTTTGATATTTGAATGATAATTTCCATCCTTAACTGAGCGCAGAGGACAAACATAAGCTGATTCCAGCTTCTCAAATGTGAGTTTTTTTATGCTTTTCTCCATTTTATATCGATATTACTATAAGTTTCAGGGGATTGAAACTGTTGGTTAGACAAAACAACCAATTAGAAGTTATGTAGTATGTCACTGATATCAGCCGATCTTGGCTTAAAAATGAGATTTCAGAGTCGGCAAACTCGCTTTTTCTTAATTTGCACAATGAATGAATATCACACACACTTAAAAGTATTGTATTTCATGTCTCCATCTACTGGCTCATGATAAGAGGATGCATTAATTTATGTAAAACCTCATAGGCCAGATTTTATTTTCACAAAACATTAAGTAAATCGTAAGGAAAAAGATCACTCCCTAAATGTTTGTAGTTTTCCCTTTTTTTATTAAGTTTTTTGTTCTTTTGCTCTGTATACGTGCCCACTACGGGATCTGTGACATTACAAAAAACAAAGAGTATGCATTCATGATATTTTGTTAATTCCACCAGAGAAGAGATTTGATGATCACTAAACTTACGCAAGGCAAAAAGTGGATATATCAGTATTGGTTATCAGTCAAATCAGTTGTTATTTATCAGCATATCTGCAAAAAAAATCCAGTATTGTGCATCCGTAATTAGAAGAAATCAACTTGGGCTTATGGAAATTGTGATGCCCATTTGTGACCACAGTCTGACCTTTAATAGACCTCACAATTAATCAATAAAAACCTTAATTAGATTATGTAATGAGGTGAAATCAATGCGCTGGTGGCATTGTGTCCTGCTCATGATTATGGTGATGTGCATGGTGTCCTGGTGCACTCACTGTGCTCCTTGAAGACGAGCAGCACACAGGTGAAGATCTTCATGACCTCGGCCACCACCACAGCTGAGGAGGCCAGGTACCGCGGGCCCTCGGCCTGCAGGGTGCGGGAGTACCGCATGGTGAGCACCAGGGAGGTGGTCTGGAACACCAGCACGCCCAGAGAGAGGTACTTCAGCCGGGAAGAGGCCATGGCCACTTGTCGGTGTGAAGCTGGACACAGAGAAGGGGAAAATGACGGTGTAAATATAAGGTGAAAGTAGTTAGAGTTGTTAGTACACTTGGGAGGTGATACTGGAGGATGAGTGAAGAGGAGTTTTAAGAGTTTTTCGTGGCTCTCACCTTTCTGTCTTTCCTTCAATGGCGCTTTAAAACCAACTTCTCCTCCGCAGATATCTGTCTCCACATAAAATGAACCCCACTTTAAGGTTTCAGCCTCGGCTCTGAGCAGCTCTCTCTGTCAGACACAGTCCAGGTACCGGAGTCCCAACCCAGCTGTCAAAACAGCAGCCTTCAGGTCCTGGCGTCCATTGACCCACACTGGATATCAACCGTCAACCGTCCGCTGATAACCGCACGTTATCTCCTCGGTGTCTCCTCACCGACCGTCGCATCGTTAAGCGCCATTGCGGTTTAACGAAGCGCTAACAGACAGAGTAAATTACAGAGAGAGTCTACAAGAGGAAAAAATCTCATGCATATAAGATCCTGGATGACTTCCGTGTGTACAGGTTTCTTCTTCGTGGTTTAATCGAAGCTTCCTGTGTGAATCAGCGCCTCCTGCTGGACTAGCAACAAACTGCACCGCTCATATTTCACTCAGGCTGTAAAATAAAGTGACTTTCAGGTCCTTTCTTTGCAGAACTAGCAGTGAAATAACAAAGCACTGTGAATAATTACACATGTATGGACAAAGTCACACCAAATAATTACTTTTTTAATGGAAACAGTTCACTGAGCACACAGAGGCAAGTAGTGTCATTGTGTAATCCAATGAAAATACTGGAAGATATGTTTAATGATGCAAATCACAAGGGATATGTTTACTTTCTGGAACATAGTTTCTGCACTGTAATAGTGCATTTTTGCTGTTATTAATGAGTTTTATTAATATCTTAACCATAATATTAGTGGTGCTAAACCACTGAACCGAACACATTTCAATTTTTGGTTATCAGAGGATAGATAGATAGATAGATAGATAGATAGATAGATAGATAGATAGATAGATATTCTTGTTCTTAGTCCCTTTTTCCCAGATCAATTCGGGAAGGTGATAAATCAGGGAATTAATAAAAAATAAATTAATTAAAAAGGAGGAAAGAAAGGTAATAACAAACAACGAAATGACTTGGAAAGAGTGCTTGAAAATTATAATAATCAAATGTAATAATTGTAATAGTAATTATCATTATTTCATTTTTCCATTTTTTTTTTTAAATAATTTTATTTTTTTTATTTATTTATTTGCAATTTGTGTGACATTTCTTTCCAAGTTATGGGGCATTAATTTGTAGGATATAGGGCTGCCCCCTTATAATCGACCAAATGTTAGTCGACCAGAAAGGTCATCAGTTGGCAAGATTTCATTGGTCACTATAATTATTTTCTAATTTTTTTTTTTTTTTTTTAATTTGTGGGATATTACTTAACAAGTTGCTCATTGCCCCCCCCCCATATTTTGTAAAAAAATTGCACCTATTTGCTCAGGGTTCAAGGGTTCAATATACTTGTGAAAGGCATCTGAAAGCAACACAAGAAAAGTGATGTTGCTTCAGGTTTCAAAGGGTTAATTCATCTTATGCTGTTATTACTATGTGCTTAGTGTTTGGGTTCTGCTTCTTATTGTAAAGCACTTTGTGAATGTGTTTTTAAGGGTGCTATATAAATAAGGTTTATTTCATATATATATAGCCCCGCTACGGATACTGGTTCCGAAATGGAGCAACCATCAGCACCTCCTCTACATGGATGACATCAAGCTGTATGCAGGAATGAGCGAGGCATCGACTCACTGATCCACCTCACCAAGATCTACAGCAATGGCATCGGAATGTCATTCGGTCTAGGTAAGTGTGGTCGGATAGCGTCAAAGACAGGGATGATAATCAGAACCGAGGGGGTCGAACTACCAGAAGGCAGCATTGTAGATGTTCAGGACAGCTACAAATACCTTGGGGTCCTGCAGGTTAATGGGAACCACAAGGAGGTCGCGTGGAAGTCAGCCACAGCCTAATACCCACACAGAGTAAGGCAGGTCCTGAAGAGTCAGCTGAAACATGAACCATCAACACGTACGCCCTGCCAGTCATCAGATACCCCGCTCGTATAATAAGCTGGCCAAAGGAGGACATAGAGGCCACCGATATCAAGATATGGAAGCTTCTCACAATGAATGGAGGGGGTAAGAGCCACTGTCCAGGATGCAACAACCAAGATCCAGGAATACATCAGAAAGATGGCCCCCAAATATGAGCTGCTAAGTGAATACCTCAGGCAGCAGAAACCCGAGAATGCAGAAGAGGTGGATGAACCACCGTGACCAGAGTGTCACAGGGCTGACACATGGAGACAGTCAAGGTCACATTCACACCTACGGGAAATTTAGGGTCACCGATTAACCAAACCTGCATTTCTTTGTACTGGTGAGAACCTGGAGAAGCCCACACTGACACAGGGGGAACATGCAGACTCCACCCAGAAGGGTTCGAACATAGAACTCTCTTGCAGTAAGGCGACAGCGCTAACCATTTAAAAAGAGACATAAGTGCAAAGTCTATGAAGATCTGGGCTTTATTTCAGTAAGCACATTTGGTTGATCATTTGGTTTTTTGACAACAAACATCTTATCTTTTCATCAGTTTTAGTTCTTCTACCTTATACAAACATGGTGACAACTACTTCATATGGCATGTATATTATAGGCTATTTGGTTAACAAAGGAAAGTACAATAAAAAAACATTTATATACAGAACATAGACACATGGCCTTGCATATGAACGGGAACCGACATGCTCAATTCTTGAAAGCAAAAAAAAAAAAAAAAAAAAATGCAGACTGACACCTCGATGTACAGTACGTGTGGTTTGTGAAACTGCAGGGACATTGTAGGAACAGAGAAAAAGGTACTGGGAATATTAACGACTAATTGGGTTTATTCATAAAGACACTTGCAGTAGTAATTCAAACGTCTTGGTATTGGATGTGAGAGTCTTTTATAGAGCGAAACAAAACTGAAACCAGGGCAACAGCTAGTAAAAATCTGGACACAATGAACATTTTTGGCAGGAAAAAAAAAAATAAAAATTTGGTCTTAGAGACACTGATGCTCTTTCCTCTGAAAAATAAAACAGTGAATGATTGTCTGTGTTTACAGAGCAGTCACACAAAGCTATGATCAACCTCGACTTTTCACCTCCGGACTTGGTTTATGAATCATTAAAATTAAAAAAAAAGGTGCAGAGATACACTGATTGTAGTTAAGCAAAAGGCAAAACTGGTTAAATGATTTAGGAAGGAGGCAGTTTAGGAGTAAAAACATGCACCTCTGTAACATTCAGAATCATTCAAGAAGTGCGAACAGAATCCATATATATATAAAAAAAAAAACAGAAACAGGCATTTTAAAAAGTCAACATGCCTCTGCTGAAACGAGCTCAGTAACAACAAGCAGAATGTGCTGTAAGTCTATGTACATTTCATCATACAACATACTACAACTAATGTATGTTTTTGCATAAAGTTTGTCAAGCTTAATTCATCCCTCAACAACACATGAGATATAGTGGCACTGTCTGTGATTTGTATTTCTGTAACAGTAACAGCTGCATTTACTGAACCCTCTGCTCAGCCATCTGATGGGAAACACTAACATCTAATAACTGTAATCAATGCAGTAAATACATTTAGGTTGTTAGCGCAAGTGTGGAAACTTTTAGTAACAAGATGCATCTGTGTGCATTTCTATATAATCTGTAATTTACTGGATTTTTGTCTTTCTAGTCACGCAACAGCATTTTAGAAAATTCCCCCTTTAGCACGTTTAAAAACAATGCATGAATAAAAAACATCAAGGCAACAACTAGGTAGTTTTGCTGGATTAAAGCATCAGCTGAACGTGACCCATCGTATTAAAAAAGTATAGTGAATGATTGCGACGACAAGTTAGTATTGGCAGGCTTATCACATTAAACAACACATAAGGATAGCATATAGCAGGAAGAAACGACAATGTCCTCGAAAAACAGACAGTATAAACGCAGAGTGTCCTCTGCTCTGTCTCAGTGTCCATGTCAACAGTCTGTTTTTCTGATGCAGTACCAGCCGGCCGCCATCTGGTCGGCACTTCCTCGTTGATCCCTCAATAAACAGTTTGTGTTTCGGGTGCCAAAGGCTGAAAAGAAAAGTCTTGACTTTGCCAGCAGGGAGCAGAGGATGCTCGGCTGGGATCAGAGGAACCATGTGGAAAACTGATTTCAGCTCGTGACAGACAGCTGACTGCACGCTTTTTGGTTTTGAGAACTTTTGATTTCTAGCTGATAATACTCGATGACGTTTTAGAAACTATACAAACAGTTTTCTTAAGTGCAAAGAGAAGAAAACATAAAGGGGGAGGTGACCGATTATCATACTGAAGAATAAACAAAAAAAATTTTAACAAGAAACGTGAGAAAAGCATCGTATGAGTTACTATGTGTTGTTATTCAACTACACAGAATCCCAAAGTCAGTCTGTTTATGCTTCCCTCTGGCCGGCCTACGCAAACACCTGCATGTTTCCGAGCTGAGGTTGTTGAGAGGCCTGCTGCATCTGTTGCGACTGCGGCTGCAGCTGCACCTGCTCTGGAATGTGTGTGTGGTGTGAAGACGGCAGTGCATGGTGAGGGTTCCCCAGAGGGGTGGGGCTGGTGGTGACGTCAGACCAGTCTGAGTTGGAGTGTGGCGAAGAAGACGACCAAGGGTCTGGGGATTCGGGTGAAGGGGTGAGATACGGGTGCTCGCTGGGTGGGTGGGCAGAGTGGCCGGGGGTGGTGCCATCTGAGCCGGTGGTGGTGTAACTGTGCTGGGAGGGGGGAGTGGGGTACTTATCCACAGGGCTCTGCATGGGTGGATAGGAGGGCAGCGGCCGAGACTGGCCCTCAATTCCGCCGTGGCCTCCGTGGCTAACGGTGTGGGGGTGCTGCATGGCGTGGGAGAGCCCATGCGCCATACTCATCTGCTCAGGCATCTGGTACATCATGCTCTGGGAACATCGGAGGTGGCCTGGGCCCTGCTGGGAGTGACCCTGACTCTGGTTCTGCCCCTGGGACTGTGTGACCTGTACCTGCCCCGGCTGAGACTGCTTCAGCATGGGCTGGCCTCCCCCAGGTGCCATCATCTGGAACGTGACGATGGGCGGCAGCTGCTCTCTGCTCATGGTGACATTCATGGGAGTCAGCATCGGGCCCTGGCCGTGGCGTTGGCCCATGCCAGGGTGAGATCCTCCCATCTGGTGCGGCACGATGCCGAACATGTGGCTGCCATAGCCGTGTTTGGTCATGCCCACCCAGCCCTGCTGCTGTCCCAGCATGTGGCTGACGGGAGGCAGCATTGGTCTGGAGGTCGGGCTGCTCAGGAGGGGAGGGGAGTTCGCAGTGGTGGAGACGGCGCCGGACACGTCCCCTGTGTATGAGTGTGGTGACTCCAGGGAGTCAACAGGTGACATGGTGACTGAGCTTTCTGGAAGTCCCGCTG